TTCGCTTCCTCAACTTCTCTGGCTGGTCTCACTACACCGATAGTCTCCCTGGTTCCATCACTGGATGCCGATGGCGTGCAGTCCACTGTGCTGGTGCTGCCAACTTCATGCTTCTTGTCCGACTGCAGAGTATGGGCTGCTCTGACATGAACCACTGCCCTGAGACTAGAAAAGTCCTCCCCTGGCCATTGGCTGGCCATTTGGGGAATTGCTTGGCTTGTTACTGTTTTCCCTTCTACTGAAGACCTAATGAGGTTTGCTGGCCCTGGCTGCATTCTGAATTTGTTTTCTTTTTTGTCCCCTTGGAAACGTTTTCTGTCGTGCTCTGTGAATGATCATGCTCCATATTCTCTTGTTTGATACCCAGGAAGAACACTCTGGTGAGGAAGTGGATTCCACCTCTAGCAAGGAATCATAGAACATGAGATGCAGGAGGGATCTTGTCCTTTAAACTTTGTCTTCAAACTTTTTTCTGTGGAACTATGGGGTGTCTGAAGGGCCCCTGGTGAGGAGGGGGAAAAGTGGGCATAGTGAAATGAGTCAGGCTCTGGGCCCTCACCGTTACTTCAATCAGAGCAGTTCCACTTTTATTTTAAACAATTTAGAAATGGGGTGATGGGGGGTGGGGCTTGAAAAGCCATTGATGTGGTTGAATTCTCTTGTTTGACAATTGGAGAAAGGAAGGCCCAGAGATGGGGGGTATTTGCCCAGGGTCACACAGCTGTTGGTAGCAAAGCTAGAATTCCTGGCAGCCATCTTGGCATTGGATCAGCCGTGCCATGTTTGTGGAAAGTTAGCTGCAAAGCCTCATGTTCCCGGTTTGCCCAGTTGTCGCTGTCTGGCACTCATCAGGGAGTCCTATTGTTTTGATCTATTATGGGCCCTTGGTTTTCTAGCTTCTCTGGGAACCTGTCCTTTCATTTTGTCAGCAAACATTTGGTGAACTCCTGGAATATGTCAGACATTGTGCCAGTCACTGGGTTGACAGCATTAAACAGGAAAGATCCTAAATTAGAGTTGTGAGGAGGGCTATGGAGAAGTCCACAGTATGATTGACTCAAATGTCAAGGAGGCTTCTGCCCCTCTGGGTCTGGAGAGGGGTCCTCTGGGGCAATGGTGTTTGAGCAAAGACTGAAGGAGGAGCCCGGGGGTGGGGATAGTGTTTTGAATTAGATGCACCATTGTTTTCTAAACTGCATTATGTTTAAAAGAGATGATACATGCATAGGATATAAAATTCCCAAGATAGACAAAGGTAAACGATGAAGGGTCAGTCTCTTACCCCAACCATTGGTAATCCAGCTTCCTTTCTTGAGGCAACCACTGTCCACTTTTCTTATTTACCCTTTCAAGGATAGTCCATGCATTTGCAAACACTTGGTATTTATGTTTTATTAATATTTTAATTTTTAATAGAAATGGTAGTATACTACATATAGTTTTTCATCTTGCTTTTTTTCACTTAATATCTTAGAGAGTGTTACATACAAGTACATGTAGAACTGCCTCATTCTTTTTCATGATTGCACAGTATTCCCCATGTCTGTATGTAGTGCCGTAATTTTTTTTTTTAACATCTTTATTGGGGTATAATTGCTTTACAATGGTGTGTTAGTTTCTGCTTTATGACAAAGTGAATCAGTTATACATATACATATGTTCCCATATCTCTTCCCTCTTGCGTCTCCCTCCCTCCCACCCTCCCTATCCCACCCCTCCAGGCGGTCACAAAGCACTGAACTGATATCCCTGTGTTATGCGGCTGCTTCCCACTAGCTATCTACCTTACGTTTGTTAGTGTATATATGTCCATGCCTCTCTCTCGCCTTGTCAGAGCTCACCCTTCCCCCTCCCCATATCCTCAAGTCCGTTCTCCAGTAGGTCTGTGTCTTTATTCCTGTCTTACCCCTAGGTTCTTCATGACATTTTTTTTCTTAAATTCCATATATATGTGTTAGCATACGGTATTTGTCTTTCTCTTTCTGACTTACTTCACTCTGTATGATAGACTCTAGGTCTATCCACTTCATTACAAATAGCTCAATTTCGTTTCTTTTTTAAACCAGTCAGTCCTCTGTGGGAGGACATTTAAGGTGTTTACAGTGTTTTGCTATTATAAAGGATGCCACATGAGTAACTGTATCTACATAGTTTTATACATATAGAAGAAACTCCTGGAAGCAGAATTACTAGGTCAGTGGGTAAGTACCTTTGCAATTTTGGTAGCTGCTGTTGCCAAATTACTATAGAGGTTGTAGCAATTTAGACTCTCACTAGCATCGTATGAGGGTATCTATTTCCCCACATCAACACCAACAAGGAGTGTTAGCAGATTTCTGGGCCTTTACCAATCCAATAGCTGATGGATGGTATTTCATTGTAATTTCCATTTCTCTTACAAGTAAGCCTAAATCGTTGTATTTCATTTTCTATGAATGGGTCACATCCTTCGCCATTCTCTTTGTAGTCACTTTTTATGTATTAAGGAAAATAAGCTTTTGTGATGTGATGCAACATTTTTTGTGTGTGTGTTTCTTTTGTTTTGTACGCCATTTGGTTTTTATTGGTTTTGGCCATGCAGGAAAACTTGATTTTTATATAATTGAATTCATAGGTCTTTTAAGACTTCTTGATTTTATGTCATACTCAGAAAGGCTTTATTTCCTTTGGATTATACAGTGCTCTATTTTTCTTCTCCAGCATTGGGTTCTACTTTGTTATTTTTTTAAAATAATTAATGTTTGTTTAATTTACACCAAGTGAAATGCTCAGCTCTTACGTGTACAGTTTGGCCAGTATCTGCATCAAAATACAGATCATTTCCGTCACCCCTAGAGTTCTTTCACCCACGCATAAATCAGTCCTTCCCACCTAGAAGCATCCACTGATCAGACTTCTGTCACTATAGGTTAATTTTGCCTCTTCTGCTTATTCTAGAATTTCATATTTACGATGTTTATGTTTGCAGTTGTCAGTGTCTTTCATTCTCACATTATCCCGTCAGTGGTAAATTCCCCATTTTTTTTTTGATTTATTTTTTTATTTATCTTTGGCTGCTTTGGATCTTCGTTGCTGTGCATGGGCTTTCTCTAGTTGTGGCGGGCTGGGGCTACTCTTCATTGCGGTGCGAGGGTTTCTTATTGCAGTGGCTTCTCTTGTTGTGGAGCACGGACTCTAGGCGCACGGGCTTCAGTATTTGCGGCTCGCGGGCTCTAGAGTGCAGGCTCAGTAGTTGTGGCGCACGGGCTTAGTTGCTCCGCGGCATGTGGGATCTTCCTGGACCAGGGCTCAAACCCTTGCCCCCTGCGTTGGCAGGTGGATTCTTAACCACTGCGCCACCAGGGAAGTCCCTGAGTTCCCCATTTTTAAGAGATGAAGTTGAATTGTAGAGATGAAGTAAACTGTAACCTCAGCTCAGTATTCTTCAGTTAATTATTATTAGCAAGTTTGAGACCTTGGAGAAAAGTTGAAATATATTCAATATTTTCTTTTTTAAAAAATTAATTAATTAATTTATTGATCTTGGTTGTGTTGGGTCTTCGTTGCTGCGTGCGGGCTTTCTCCAGTTGCGGCAAGCAAGGGCCACTCCTCGTTGCTGTGCACAGGCCTCTCACTGCGGTGGCCTCTCCCATTGCGGAGCACGGGCTCCAGGCACACGGGCCTCAGTAGTTGTGGCATGTGGGCTCAGTAGTTGTGGTGCACGGGCTCTAGAGCGCCAGCTCAGTAGTTGTGGCGCACAGGCTCAGTTTCTCTGCAGCATGTGGGATCCTCCTGGACCAGGGATCGAACCCATGTCCCCTTCATTGGCAGGCATATTCCTAACCACTGCGCCACCAGGGAAGTCCCTCAATATTTTCTCAAAAAAAAATTTTTTTTTTTTTTTTGTGGCGCTATGCGGCATGCGGGATCCTAGTTCCCCAGCCAGGGATCTAACCCATGCCTTCTGCACTGGAAGCATGGAGTCTTAACCACTGGACCACCAGGGAAGTCCCTTAATGTGTTTTTTAATAGATTTAAATTCATTTTGTTAGCTTAAAACACAGAAAGATATTTTTAATCTCCTGGTCATAAAATTACATTTAGATTTGTGATGACGCAAAAATTTTAAAAGTGTTGAGGACTTTTTTTCTTAAACCCAACCCTAACTCCAGTTGCTAAAATTCAGTCTTTAGCTGACAATATTTTTTGTGAGTTTTTTTCCTTTCCTTTTCTTCCTAGGGCCTCATTTTTCCACTCTTAAATTACATCTTTGTCCCTGGCCAGTACGTCAGTGATTCTCACCAAGGACTTCTTTATAATTCTAGAAAACGTAGGAGAAAACTACTCTGTTTCAGGCCTTATTACTCAGTTCATTTCTTTACACCTAGTGACAAGGGAAGCAGCCCTTGTCAATAGGATTTAAAACCAAGAAAAAAGTGAGATTAACAGGAACTGGCCCTGGGATTGTGGCATCAGAGTCATCTACTGAGAATGGATGTGGGGAGGGAGGACAGAGGTGGGGACAGCAGCAGTGTCTCCTCCAAAGACAAACTGGTCCCAGGTGTGCCCTGCTTTGAATTTGGACAGTGCCATCCCCTTCAGGCATTCCTTGGCCTGTAAATACTGAAACTGAGGGGTATCCCAGCATAGAATGCTGTATCCTTAGCAGAAGTGACTCATCACATTGGCCAGAGCAGCTTCTGAAACAAAAATTCCCTCCAATTATTGCTTTTTTTAATGCGCTCTGCCACTTCCAAAGATGGAATCCAAACCCTAAGCTTTTTCTTGCCTAAATTGTCTGCTTGCTTTCAATTGTGGCTCATGTACATGGTCAGAGTCTTGGCCCCTGTGGCCTCCATTAGCAGGGATACAATGCATAGCAACGGCTGAGAGCAGGGCCAAGAAAAGCACCAGTCTTTCCTGTGGCATCTGCAAGTCTGAGCTCAAAGTCTGACTGAACTGTAGGGTTTTTTCCATTCCTGCAGAGAGAATGAAAAATCTCTCTTGCGCTGATACCCTAGGCAACTGCGGTGAAAGAACATGCGGAGGTAGCCACCCTCAGTAGATCCACATGGTGCTGGTGATCTTTCATGGTGAGGTGAGGTTTTTTCATCGGTGCTCTGGGGTGGCTTTGCAAAAGCATTTTCATTTCTCTCCATCTTCTCCTTCCTCCTCTACCTTAATTTCCTGTATGTGAAACAACTTCAGAGGGATACAATTTCTGCATCAGCAGTCCCACTGGGCCCTCTGCAGAGGGATATGCGAAATAGATACTGCGGAGGAAAGAGGCCACCAGCGCCAGCCGTCACATGGGATGGCGGTTTAAGTTTGTGAGTAGTTGCTTAGCACCTGTAAAAGGAAGAGTGTCATCAAAAGCTCCAGCTGTAGGGGCATCAGCAGCTGTGGTGGCTTCACTAGCTGACCCTGCAGCTCTCTTGCTTTTTTTAATCCCCCAAAGAGAAATTTTCCCACCCTTTCTCCATCTGGGTGGTTGCATCCAACACAGATCTGCCAGGCTGTGTTCTGGGAATTCAGGGCCCTTGGATGTTGTGTTGTGCCTGCAGACGAGGGGAACACCTGTGACACCCTCCTCTACCAGAGAAGGAAGAATTTCTGGGCAGCGCTGAAGTTGGACATCTAAGGTAGTTTTTGCTTTGTTCACTTTGATTTCCTTCTAGATTTAACGTTGGAGGGGTTTGTACGTTACTTTCTGTGATTTTTTGGCCTGTGATTTTTAGCCCCTCTTGCCTTCATTGATCCCTCTTCTTCAACTAAATTTAACCTTGGGAAACCCAAGGTACTCTCCTATTCTGGATACCTCTGGTTATGCTCTCAGGCCTGTGACTTCTGAAGCCATACAGCCTTTTATTGTGTGACAGACGTGCCATTGCCTTCTTTACCTGCTCATTCTCAGAGCTCCACAAAGAACCTCTAGGTTGGTGAGGTTTCTCTGAGAAAATGGCTTTCTCTGTGCTCAAAATGAAATTATTTTTAATGTATGTAAACTCTGGTAGGAAACAAATGCTTATATAGTTACCTCACAGCTGTCGGAGAGCAGGCTGAGGGTTCCTGGGCTTTTCAGTGGCTACTTTTCATTTCTTTGAACAACTATTGACTGAACCCTGGCCACGCTTGTGTGGAGGATGGATGCAGCTGTGGACCAGGCCGACTTGGGTCCTTGCCTTTGTGGATCTGTTTGCAGCCCTGACTCCCGCTGCTGAGACTGGCAGTTAGTGGCCCCGCAGTGGCACTAGCATCAGCAGACACGGGTCTCTTCTGGTCTTTCCCACAGCTCCCACAGAAAAGTGCCATCATCCCTTTTCAACCTGACAAAGCAAAAGGAATGTGGAATTGTGTCTTTTTCTTTATACTTTTGTCAGTGAAGCCTTTATTCCTTTATCCTAATGGGATCCACAAAGGCTTTAAGGCAGCCCTGAGGCAGTACTTATCGGTTCCCTGTTGGTTACTGAAACAAAACCTATGGGCAGGTGTCTCAGTTGGGAAACAGCCCTGTTGCCATCCTGCCATAAATACAGGCTTAAACTGGAAAAATACAGTTGGGCTGCAGGGGAGCTGTGTTGCCATTGTTTCCAGAGATTTTTTATAAAATAAATTTATTTATTTTATTTATTTATTTTTGGCTGTGTTGGGTCTTCGTTGCTGCGTATGGGCTTTCTCTAGGTGCAGAGGGGGGGCTACTCTTTGTTGCAGTGCATGGGCTTCTCATTGCTGTGGCTTTTCTTGTGGAGCATGGGCTCTAGGCGCACGGGCTTCATTAGTTGTGACCAATGGGCTCTATAGCTCAGGCTCAGTAGTAGTGGTGCACTGGTTTAGTTGCTCCGCGGCATGTGGGATCTTCCCGGACCAGGGTTTGAACCCATGTCCCCTGCGTTGGCAGGTGGATTCTTAACCACTGCGCCACCAGGGAAGTCCCTCCAGAGACTTTTGAGATGTTCCTTGACTCCTCACATCCATCGCAAGAGTAACCTTAATCTCCCCCTACTGATAGCAATGAATTGAAAGAAGATATTAATGGTTTACATGTTTGAGTCTCTTCTATAGAGGCAACAGAAGGGACCAAGTGAGTGAGTTTTCTCCATGCAAATGTCTGTTCTTTGGGTTGTGTGGTTTTATGTACCATGTGAAACTATAGGTAGGACTGGAAGTTGAAAGTCTCATGGCTTTTTGGACTGAGTCCTTAAGCCACTCTCAGGGTTCTGTCCTTTCTCTCAGATGGGGAAGCAGAATTCCCTCCTCTATAGAGCACAGGTCCTGAGCTCAGATGGACCTGAAATTGTCTCCCAGTCCAGCCATTTACAAGCCATGTGACCTTGGGCAAGTTACTTAACATCCCTGAGCCTCAGTTTCCTCATCTAAAAAGGGGGTAAAAGCAATTACTTTATTGGTAGAATTAAATGAGATAATGTTTGTAAAGCTTTAATAGGGGTTCAGTAAATGATAGCTTCTTAATAAATGTTAGAACAACCCCTGAAGCCTCTGCCATGCATCCAGGGTACTTGGCTCCTGTGTAGCTTCTTATATCTCTCATCTGTTGACCAAGAATAACTACTGAAGTTACATCGTAAATGCTCAGCAAATTGTTGAATGAATGAGAGGGCCTTGGTACTTTCTTTGCCCTGTTGCCTTAGACCAGTACTTCACAGTGTGAGTTTTACCCTAGGAGGTGTCCTGAGAGGTGCTTTGAGAAAACTGACCAGTCAGATTTGGGGAGTGCTGTAGAGTCTGCAGTGTGTAGTTTCTAGCCCTCTCTAGAGATGAATAGTGCCTATCACTGTTTAGAGAAGCTTGGAAAAGTTGGGTAGAGAAGAAATCTCTCTAGCTTTTTAACCTTGGCGTTTTCCAAGCTCCTTTGACTATATAGGCAATGATAGCGATAGTACTTCCATGAGGCTGTGATGAGGCTTCAGTGAGTTCACATGTGAGAAGCACTTAGTGCTGGGCAGAGTGAGCACCACAGAGGGGCTGCTGTAACCATGATTGTTCAGTGCTTTTTAATCTGTGGACTCTTCCAAAGTATTGAGCCATTCCCTACCGATGGACATTTAAGTTATTTCCAGTGGTATATTGTTATGGACAGTGCTGCAGGATATAAAACCCTTTTATCCCGTGCAGATATTTCTGTGGGAGAGATTCCTAGAAGTAAAATCCCTGGGTCAAAGAATACGCACATTTTAAAATTTGATAGATCCTTCGGAATTACCCTCCAAAATCTAATCAGCCATTATCTAACAGTTCATTTGCCCAGTAAAGAGATGAGAAGCTATCTCCCCTCATCAGGCATGCACTGGATCCCTCTCCCCTCTTGTGAAATGAAGAATGGAACACAAGGGCAAGTTACCTCTTTTCTGTCTTGCAGAGTCTGGCCACAGATAAGGGACCAAAATGACGGACTCAAAATATTTCACCACAACCAAGAAAGGTACTGTTTGTTTCATTGTGGGGTCTTTTGTTTTTTTTTTTTTTTTTTTGGCTGCCTTTGGTATTCATTGCTGCACACGGGCTTTCTCTAGTTGCAGCAGGTGGGGGCTACTTTTCATTGCAGTGCACGGGCTTCTCATTGCAGTGGCTTCTCTTGTTGCAGAGCACAGGCTCTAGGCGTGTGGGCTTCAGTAGTCATGGCACGCGGGCTCAGTAGTTGTGGCTCGCCGGCTCTAGAATGCAGGCTCAGTAGTTGTGGTGCACGGGCTTAGCTGCTCTGTGGCATGTGGGATCTTCCTGGACCAGGGCTCAAACCCGTGTCCCCTGCATTGGCAGGCGGATTCTTAACCACTGCGCCAGCAGGGACATCCCCATTGTGGGGTCTTATCCTCTTCTTTCCTTGCCCGACCCTTCTGCTTGCTCCCTGTGGTAGTGGGGGGTTGAGGGTGTGTGGAGGCCTGGAAGCAAGTGGCAAGAATCACTGAGAGCATTTTGAACCTTGTGGATCCGGAAATTTGAACTGCGGATGGTGTAAGAAGTATGACTACTTTCAGAATTCCAGAAGGAAAAAGCATTAGCTCCACGTATAGAAAAAAGCCCTCTTTTGTTCCCTATGGCTTTAAATTGTGAAAAATGACGCCCCACCGCCCAGAGGAAAGAAAGCACACAATCCTGTCAGCAACTGCACAGTGGTATCTGTGCATGTTTGGTCCTTATCGTTGGGCACATGTTTTACGTGGTTGAAGTCAGAGTTTATATCCTGTTTTTCATCTAGCATTATCATAAATGTTTCCCCACAGTTCTGAAGACTCAGTCTGTTGAGTTGCTGCATCAAAATTTGCTAAGCTAGTCTTGTATTGTTTGGGTATTACAGTTGACTTTGCTTTTCGGGAAATGGAGTTGGTTGTAGTGGCTGACAAATGTGCTTTAACCCTGTAAGCAATCTTTCTGGCTGGCCCTTCCTTCCTCCTTCCTTCCCTCCAAGTGAGATTAACACTCGCCTGCTGACCAGATGAGGAGAGTTTGTTGTTGCGTCAGCTGAGCCAGGACCTGCAGTCCCCTCATCAGGTGGTTCATTTCTCAGTCCAGCCAGTTTTCCTGTGTCTCTTCCATGTGCAGTGGAGGAGACAAATGGAGTCTCTGACCTGGCTTTGCTTGCCCTTGGGCAGAGAGGACAGTTTATTTATTTATTTATCTATTTATTTTAATTAAAAAAATTTTTTATTTATTTATTTTTGGCTGTGTTGGGCCTTCGTTGCTGCACGCAGGCTTTCTCTAGTTGTGGCGAGCAGGGACTCCTCTTCGTTGTGGTGTGCGGGCTTCTCATTGTGGTGGTTTCTCTTGTTGTGGAGCATGGGCTCTAGGCGCATGGGCTTCAGTAGTTGTGACGAGCGGACTCTAGAGCGCAGGCTCAGTAGTTGTGGCGCACGGGCTTAGTTGTTCCGCGGCCTGTGGGATCTTCCCGGACCAGGGATCAAACCTGTGTCCCCTGCATTGGCAGGCAGATTCTTATCCAGTGCGCCACCAGGGAAGCCTGAGAGGACAGTTTATTAAGTAGTGATCACTCTAAAGGGCAGTGGGTGCTGTGATAAGGGAGGGGCGGGGCCCGTGGGAGGGTTGGGGTGGAGCTAGACAGATAAAATGGGGTGGAGTGAGTGCTGTCCCAGGTCCATCAGGGAAAGGAAAGCCTAGGCACAAGTTACTGAAGAGTGTGATGGAAGAAAGGTTGGAGAGGTTTGTGGTGCCTGGCGAGCCAGGTCAAAGTGGGTGAACAGTGCCGAGTAAACTGAGGTGTCAGTAGTGGGGTTTTTTTTATGGGTTTTCTTTTGAGGAGAATGTCTAGAGAAATATCTGGGACCAAATTTGACATCATTGATGGTTTTAGGCAGGGGGAGGTCAGAGGCAGATTCTAATCAAGGATCGAAGTGGGTGAGGCTGTGGAGAGGCAGGGAGAGCAGAACCACAGTTCGCATGAGAGATGATGCTGCCTGAGCTGGGGAGGAAGGCAGGGGTGTTGGGGATAGAATTGGATGCCTCGTATGTGATTGAGGAGGTAGGCTTGGTAACTGGTTGGATTTGGGGCACATTATAGGAAGGAGGCATTTCTGAAGCAGGCAGATCCCGGGATCACCTCACTAGCCTTCTTGGGGCCAAGGTGACTCGGGCCTAGATCCATCAGTTGACTGCCAGTTGTACTGAATCTGGCCAAACACCTCAAACAAAGCAGGGGCAGCCCAGCAGCAAGGCCCAGGGTCAGTCACATGGTCTGTTGGATCTCATAGCAGGGACACAGCCCCCTTAGTCCCTTGGAGGAGAAGAGCGTGTGTTCCTTCAGCTCTCCAGAGCCTTGGATTTGAACTGCAAGGTCTGCAGATTCCTTCTGGCTCTGTTGAGCAATATCCTCAATGTGGCCTTGCCCGGGCTGTGCTGCATGATTGTTCTTAATTAACCTGCTTACTGTCTCTCATCTCAAGTCTTTGCTGAACACCACATTGTTCAGTCATTAAAAAAATTTTTTAAAAAAGAACAAAACAAACAACAACAACAAAAAAGAACAACAAAAAAACCCTGTTAGTTTTCTTTTTTTCACTGTAAATCCATCTAGAACTTCTCCTAGCACTTCCCCCCACATGATAGTTTCTGCTTCACCCCCAACCCAAGTAACTTGAGAGGGAAGCCCGGGACTCTCCTACAAAAGAGGGAACCAAGACAGAGGTTCACGTGGTAAATTAGTAATAATAGTGACCACGTTTAATGCAGGCCACTGAGTGCCAGGCACTGAGCTGAGCGTTTTGCATCTGTTACATGAGAAGAGTCAAGGCCCCAGGCAAGGCAGAGAGTACAGACAAGGAAATGGTTTCAGAGAAGCAGGGTGAATGTCCTGGGTCGGCCAGAGCACATGGGCTTTGGAGCTGGCAGACCTGGTTTTGAATCTTAGCCTTCCTCCTCATGGCTGTGTCCTTGGGCAAGTTCCTGAACCTCTTCTGGCCTCCATTTGCTCATCTGCAAAATGCGGGCAAGTGTGGAGTTGTTGTGAGGATGCAATGAGAAAAGTTGTGGGAAGAAGTTAGGGAGGTGCCTGGCTTAGAGAAAGGCTCAGGAAAGGCTGGCTGCAGCTGGTTTAAGGGCAGGAGGTCTGTCTCACTCCAGCATCTGCCCTCTTAACCTGTTATTGGGGTTATCAGGCCCCTGACTACCTCTCCATGGCAGGGCCCTGAAGAGTCCTACTTCCTTGTTTGCTTTTTCCAGATCATCAAGTTCTTAAGAACAGTTTATTAAATGCTAGAGCCCTCGTGGGACAGCTGAATTCCCATTTTCAGAGCCGAGCAACCACTTGTGGATCAGGAAGTGAAACCCTGAGTGAGCTCTTTTAACTCGAAGCGCTAGGAAAACAGGAAAAGCCTGAGCAAATCCTGCCCTTTTCCCTCAAACCTTAAGTCCCCAGGTTCCATCCCACACTGCTTTGAGGGCTTTGGGTGTGGGTGGCTGAGGAGAGCTTTGCTTCCCTCGGCATGTTTTTAGCCATCTGGCTGAGCAGGACTTGGCAGCAAATTTTTTGTCTCCCTCAGAACCTCTGTAGCTTCCATGGCTCCTCTCCCCTCGATCTGACGTGATCTCCAACCTTCCTTCCTGATAATTCAGTTGTTTCTGCCTGCCCACCCAGGGCCAGGGCCTGAAGCTGCCTTCAGCGGGCAGCACAGAGTGTCTTCCCTGCCTCCCTCCCATTCTTTTGGAAGTTGGGGACTGGGAAGCGCCCCTTGGCAGAGTGGAAATGGATCACTCATGCTGCCTCCTTTTTTAGGGGAGATCTTCGAACTGAAGGCAGAACTGAACAGTGACAAGAAGGAGAAGAAGAAGGAGGCGGTGAAGAAAGTGATTGCGTCCATGACCGTGGGCAAAGATGTCAGGTGTGCAGGGGTAGGCTGGCTGGCAGCTGGAGGCAGCTGACAGAGGGAAGCTTTTGAGCTTGGGTCCAGTTCGATCCCTCCTTTAAGATATCCCTAGGGACCCATGTCTCCCCTGGTGTAGCTCCCTTCGCAGATCTTTCCAAATAGAAGGTTTTGTTTGCAGAGGGGTCATGTGCTCAGATGTTGATGGGGTCAGGCAGTAATGGAGCAAGTGAAGTGGGCTAGGTCGAAAAGGGAACAGGCAATGCAGTGGATGTGCTGTGAGCCCTGTCAGGAACTCCAGAGGATGCTGCCTGCTGGGGAAAATGACCCCAGTGGGACCAGGTCTTTAAAAAGAACGGGGAATCTGGATTTTTCATTTTAAATCTCCTTATTTTAGATTGCCAGATGAGGGAATTCCCTGGCAGTCCAATGGTTAAGACTTGGCGCTTTCACTGCTGTAGCCCCAGGTTCAATCCCTGGTCGGGGAACTAAGATCCCACAAGCCATGTGGTGCGGCAAAAAAAAAAAAAAAAAAATTGCCAGATAATACTAAACAAACAAATAAACACTGTGCAAGTAAAACACACCTGCATGTTGGGCTTGTTAAATTTGTTGTCAGTTTGCATCCCCTGGTGTGCATCTGTTGCCAGAGCACATCACATGTAGAATTGTGGCCACTCCTTTGCTCACACATCTCCCCAGCCTGGAACGTCCCTTCCCCTTGTCCATTTACACTGCTGCCTCCCTCATCATGCCGGCTGACTACCCTGAACACGCAGCATTTGCTGTGTTCCTGTCGCCTGGCACTAATTGTAGACTGTCCTCTTCTTATGTATACTTGTGCTTACCTGCCCACCACATTGTTGAGTCCCCAAGGACAGGAGCTGGGTTCTGTGACAACTTAACACTTGCACAGTGTTTGAGAGTCAGCAAAACGCTTTTAAATATTTTCCTAGCAATTCCCATACTGTAGGTAAGGATATTTTTCCTGCCAAAGAAACCAGAAACGATGACTGCCCCATGGTCACGTGGTTAATGGAGGAACTGGACTCATGCTCAACCCTTCTGAAATCCAGACCCAAGGTGCTTTCCCCCATTCCCTCTCCTTTGGGCCCTTTTGGTGCCCAGTCCTGTGCCTCATAGGCCTGGGTGCTGACGTGGAGCAGCTCCCCATCTGGATCCCTCAGCAGGAACCCACAGCTCCGGACTTCTCCATGGATTTCCCTGTCCCATTGCCATGCTCATCAAGGGGCCTCCTGACAGCGCACAGTAGAAACAGTTCTGCAGAGAAACCTGCTGAGGACACAGTGGCAAAGGAATCAGGTGTCTGCTGGAAAACTGGGCCTCCTTCCAAGACAGATTCTTCCCAGGACAAAGCTGCTTTCCTTCAACTAGAACACCCCTGTCACAGAGGAGGCACCCCTGTCATCTCAAATGAGCTTGTTTTGCTGATGTGACGGGCCCAAAAGAGCAAGTCAGGCCTCTCAGCTCCCCCCTTTCCTGGTTCGTCATCTTCCAAGGTGATGCATCAGCTTCAGCACTGACTGGACTCTCCTGCCTGTCGGGGCTCAGGAAATTCACTTTGACCTCTTAAGTCTGTGTTACTGGGTCCTCGCCCATAAAATCACGAAAATTGAGAAGGGGGGTGATAGATAATTCCAGAGACAGAAAATTGACCACTAACCATATTTCACATGTCAAGGGGCCTGTGACCCCGGGACTGTGGGGTACCATGTTGGGAAGGGTTCTGCCCAGTATAACAGTGGTCTTGAGCATGGGCTGTGACTCAGACCTGGTGCCTTAGGCAGTTGTTTGATATTTGTGAACCTCAGTATTGTCTTCCATAAAGTGGGGATAATCCACTGACTTCTCAGGGCTGTTAAACAAGATCATTATGTAAAGCCCCTAGCACCAAGCCTGGTGTGTAGCGCGTGCTCTGTACACATGGGCTGGTTCTTAGTGGGTGCCTTGTAGTGACTGCAGCCCAGCCTACCCCTGCTCCCCTAAGCCCTCTGCAACCAGCAGCCCAATATAAGTGGCCATGTCAAGTATCAGAGAAGGAAAAACAATCGTTTTCATTTCTGTAGCACCTCCTAGATGTCAAGGACTAGATACCTTAAGTATGTTGTCTCTTTCAATTATCACAAGGGCCCTGTGAAATGGGGTTTTGTTATATCTTTCTTGCAAATGAGGAAACTGAAACTGGGGATAAAAGAATTTTCCCAACTTGATTCAGCCAGCAAGAGGCAGAGCTGGGTTTGAGCCAGGTCAGATGGGCTCTAGAGCTCATGTTTGAACCCTGTGTAAAGAACAGAGGACTTCTTTGGTTTTAAAATCACCCTTTGGAATTCCATTTCTACCAACGATGTTCACGTTAATGGAGCTGTTGCCCTGCCTTTTACTAAGAAGTCCTGTTATGTTTTCCTTCCCTCCTTCCCACTCACCCTCCTCCCCAGCCCCCATTAGCTGCCTGAAAAGTCTTCCTCTTCTTTTTTTCACCTTTCCCACATTGACGCTACTTTGACCTGCCAGTGCCCTCTTCCCCGACGTGGTGAACTGTATGCAGACGGACAACCTGGAGCTGAAAAAGCTGGTATACCTGTACTTGATGAACTATGCCAAGAGTCAGCCCGACATGGCCATCATGGCCGTCAACACCTTTGTGAAGGTAAGTAGAAGCTTGGTGTGGGGCTGGGTGCTCACTGCTCCATCTCCCCTCAGTCTCCCGGGGTGGGGCGCTACAGCCCTGGGTAGAAACACGGAGGATCCTTTCCAGGCCGTCTGACTTCCAGCCTGGGGGCCTCTTCCTCCAGCAGAGGGCTCCCGTTGTCTCCAGAAAATCTGATGCTACAGACCCTGCTAACTCATTCCATGTGAGGTCGCCCCAGGCCTTTCTATCCCCGTGTGCCCTGGGGTGAGCCATGGCCCTGTGTCATTTGCCAGCTGAGGATGCAGCATGTGTCTGAGGGCTTCCGTATTGCCCTTCTAGACTTCGCTCCTTTCTGCATGTTCTGTCCTCCAGATTGAGGAGAAACAGGGACTTGCGTCGTCAGCTCTGTGCACCTTTAAAACCTTAGCTCCCCAGCCCTGTCGATGCTTAGGTGGGGGCGAATGAGGGTTCTGTGGCCCAGTGGGAAGATTGAGGGTTGTGGTGCTGGGTGGACGCGGCTTGAATTGTGGCTCTGCTCTGTGACCGGGTGAGCTCCTGACCTTCCTGAGGGCCTTAGCTCCCTCACCTGTGAAATGGGAACAGTATTGTGTGTCTGCTGTGAGGATCAGAGGGAACAGTACAAAGCTTGGTATCTGACAGATGCTACGTGCTAAACACACGGCACTTACTTTTGGTGCTGTTGGCCGCAGTCGGTGGGAGATCCCACAGCAGCTGTCTAATGTTGCTCAGCTCGCCCCTGCCCTCGGCCAATGGCTGGTTTCCCTCAGGACTGTGAGGACCCCAACCCCCTGATCCGGGCCCTGGCTGTGCGGACCATGGGCTGCATCCGCGTTGACAAGATCACAGAGTACCTATGCGAGCCACTCCGGAAGTGCCTGAAGGACGAGGACCCATATGTGCGCAAGACGGCGGCCGTGTGCGTGGCCAAGCTCCACGACATCAATGCCCAGCTGGTAGAGGACCAGGGCTTCCTGGATACCCTTAAAGACCTCATCTCTGACTCTAACCCCATGGTAAGTCTCTGCCACCCACCCTGCCACCTCCACCACCTCCAGGGTTGCTTGGGAAGACCTCTGCTTGACCCTCCACCAGGCAGCCCCAGTTCTTGGAAGTCAGAGCCCTGCGGGGTGGGCTAGCTGTTTTCCTACCCGCAGTGGTTTGGGCGCCATCTTTGGAGTGAGCTAGACCTGGATTCCCTTCTCTGCACAGCCCTCTTTAAGGAGCTGTGTGACCTCAGGCATCCTACCTAACCTTCCAGAGTCCTCTTTTCTTCATTAGTAAGATGGATCTAATTCTGCATGACTGCCGGGGGTGTTGGGAGGCTTAAGCCGTTAAGGTAATGTGCCTGGCATAGCCTGGCACACAGTGGGTGTGCACCCAAGACTAGTACCCTCCTTCCCCTTCCAGTCACTGTCATTGTCACCGTCCTCTCACCAAGACTGTCAGAGAGCTCTGAATGTGAGGTACTTCACCCTTTCCTCACTTCTTTGCAGGGTTGTAGAGAATCACCCTTGAAGTAGTGTAGCCTGGAGGACAGGGGACCAGAAAGCAGCTGGGAGGGGAGCTGGTCTCCTCACGGCTGGTGATGGCAGCAGTTTGGAGAACAGTTCGGTAGGGCCATGTTTAAAATGAAGTATACAACCCACCCAGCCCAGACGTGTCATTCTGTGTCCCTCTGAAACACTGATCCCATGCGGGTGCCGAGTGGCCAGTACAACGATGACCGTGGGAGCATTGCTTGATTACGGGAAAGTTGAAAACCACGCGGAAAACACATAAAAACAGCTGCTCTGGCGGAAATGGGTTGCAGCCCCAGAGCTTCACCTGGCAACCCCTCTGTGCTCCAGCCCCTGAGGGGCTCTGCAGGAGGAACCTTCTAGCTCTGAGAAGCACAGTTGTCAGCTCCCACAGTGAGCTGCTGTAGCTGGTAGAGCAGGACTCCGTGTTAGGTAGCAGGGAGCACTATCTGTTGCAGGAACTTGGAGCTAGATCTTTCTTGTTTTGTGTTTTTCTTTATTGTCAGGTGCACTGACTTTAGTTTCAGCTTACAGAGGAGTCAGTAGGGTGCGTGCTTGGAGTGGGTCTCGGTGCTCCAGACCCTGCCCTTCAGGTCATATTCCTTTCAGGATGTTTGAGCTCTGACTGGCCAACATCATTAGCCTCACTACCTCCCTGGCCTGAGAGCAGCATCCCAGACTCTGTCCCTTCTACCCTCTCAACCAGGTGGTGGCAAACGCAGTGGCTGCCCTCTCGGAGATCGCCGAATCTCACCCCAGCAGCAACCTGCTCGATCTGAACCCACAGTCCATTAACAAGCTGCTGACAGCCCTGAACGAGTGCACCGAGTGGGGCCAGATCTTCATCCTGGACTGCCTGGCCAACTACACACCCAAGGACGACCGGGAGGCCCAGAGGTAGGAGGCTGCCCTTGCTTGTCAGCCTCGCCAGGCCCTGGGGTGGGAGGCTCCAACCATGAGCTGGCCCCAGGCCTCCGGGGGGCTTCTTTCCAGGCCTTGCCCCACAGACCATCCTCAGACACAGAGCCAGCAGGTTGACAGTGGTGTTGCTTCAGGCAGTCAGCGCACTGCTCACTGAGGGCACAGAACAGAAGCCAGGGCCTGACCTGGGAGCTGACAGAGAGATCTTGGTCACTGCGGGCTGAGGAAAGAGGTGGACAGCATGAGAGCCACCACTCGTTGAATTCTTACTGGGTGCCTGGGACTCTGCTGGGTGCTTCCTACGCGTTAGATAATCTTTAAAGAAACTCTGTGAAGGCAGCCCCATCACTGTCCCCGTTTTACAGGTAGGGAAACTCTGACTTAGGGAGGTGGAAGAAATCACCTAGGTCACCCAGCTGGGTCTCCCCTGACTCTTGGTCCTAACCAACATGGTATCCTGCCCCTTTTTTTTTGTTTTTGTTTCTTGCGGTACGCGGGTCTCTCACTGTTGTGGCCTACTCCCGTTGCGGAGCACAGGCTCCGGACGCGCAGGCTCAGCGGCCGTGGCTCATGGGCCCTGCCGCTCCGCGGCACGCGGGATACTCCCAGACCGGGGCACGAACCCATGTCCCCTGCATCGGCAGGCGGACTCTGAACCTCTGCGCCACCAGGGAAGCCCTCCTGCCCCTTTTGAATGCCCTCACAACAGAAGGGCGTGAGTTGACATTCATCCAGTGTTTACTGACTGCCAGGCACTGTGCTCAGTGCTGTACATGCATTGCCTCATTTAAGCCACCAGCAACCGTGTGAAGTTGGCATCATCATCTCCATTTTTTTAGATGAGGAAACTTGAGGTTCAGAGTGGTTTTAAGCTGCTTGGGGTCAGTTAGCAGGAAACAGAACCAGGAGCTAGGTCTTCCTCCTACAGAAGACAAGCTATCTTGATAACTAAAAACAGGGTGTTTCCCCTTGCTTGTCTCTCCTATTTGTCCCCCTCGGAATGGACCGCAGCATCTGTGAGCGGGTCACCCCCAGGCTCTCCCACGCCAACTCCGCTGTAGTGTTGTCTGCTGTGAAGGTGCTGATGAAGTTCATGGAGATGTTGTCCAAGGACCTGGACTACTATGGCACGCTGCTCAAGAAGCTGGCCCCGCCCCTGGTCACACTGCTGTCGGCCGAACCGGAGCTGCAGTACGTGGCCCTGCGAAACATCAACCTCATCGTGCAGAAAAGGTACTGGGACCACCACATATGGGTAGTGTGTGCCCTGGCGGGGGGATCTCCTGCTGGGAACAGGGGCTCTGAAGGGAAAGTGACCTGTCACCGTGCAGGATGTCTCAACAGCTTAACCCAGGGGTTCTGAGCCATCGGCATCTTTGTCCCACAGGGGACATTTGACAATGTCCGGAGACATTTTTGGTTGTCACAGTGGGGGCTGCTACTGTCATCTAGTGGGTGGAAGCCAGGGATGCTGCTCAACATCCTACAGTACACAGGACAGCTCTGCCCCCCCATAGAACTATCCATACCAAAAAGTCTGTAGTGCTGAGGTTGGGAAACCTCGGCTTAGCCTAACCAGGTAGCATGCTGGATAAAAGCTAGCGTGCACTTCTTAACCTTGGAGAGTGGATGGTCCACAGTCCACACAGCCTTCCTGAAACAGGCTGTAAGATCGTGTACGTGTGTGCACACTCATTTTTCCTCGGTAAGAGTCCATAGCTCTAGAGGCTGGAGGACTCCAAGATGAGGCACCATGGATTTTGCATTAGCCTCAGGGCCACTCAGAATGCTGAGCAGCCAGTTTCAGTCCACCCAGTAGGAATGACCACAGTAGTGAGCCACTGCTTAAGGAAAGGTACCTGACAACGGGGTGGGTTGGGCTAAGAAACAAGGACCAATCCAGTAAGGGTGCCGGGCAGCTCCATGGAGTGGGGCCAGACTCTGCAGTTCTACTTCCAGCCTCTTTGGTCAAATGGCTGGATCAGCAACTAACTCAAAAGCAGAACAAGGGCCTCTTGTGGACAGGGAGCATGTGTGGAAGACCACACATGCTCCCTGTCTTTATAGCTTCAGTCTGGTTCTTAGTACACACATGGGGGCCCAGAAAAATCAGTGGAATTCAGACATTTGCGAAGGTTTGGGAGGTAAATTGGGGCAAGCTTTCTGAGTGCCTGAACAAAGGGATGAGACTAGGGATTCACAGTTGCAGTGTGGGGTTTAGTGAGGTGTCGTGACCTGTGGATCCCAATCAGCAGGAGGGGCTCCCTGTGCTATATTTAACAAGGCAAACCTCCTAAGAAGTTGACCCTGTTGCTGAGGCACTACCAGGCCCAGACCCAACATGCTGTTGGGTAGCTTGTGCCGAGTCCTGATGGCAGAAATCACAACTTCTGCCGCCCAGCTCAGGATCCTGCCTCGCTTTGCCAGGACCTCCCCGCAGCCTGCTCAGCAGCACTGAGGACCATCCTGGGCAGGGTCCCTCCTTTCTCTTTGCTGGGTCTTCTCGCCTCTTCACCATCTGTCCTCATTCCTTTTTGTTCCTGCTCTCTTTTCTGGGAAGGGTGCGGGAGTAGGAGTCAGGTAGGGGAGGTGACTCTCATCTTGCTCCCACCCTTATTAGCACTAGATGTGTGACCTAGGGCAGGCCCCTCCCCCCTCAGTTTTCCTCAGCTAAGAAAAATGAGGTGGGTGGTGCCGGTGAGGGAGGAGCAATGACACTGGTGACAGTTCCTGCCTAGCAAGTGCCTTCTCTGAGGCAGATACGGATCATGCTAGATGCTTTGCATCTACCTCTCACAACAGCCCTGTTATGTAGGTCTCTGTGCCGGGATCCCCAGGACCACCCCCCCACACACACACACACTTAGAGATTCACTAGAAGGACTCACAGGAGACAGCATATCATTGTTTTCATAGCTGAGGTTTATCATCGACCTCGTAGGGCTGCACAGCTGGATCATGAGGGAGAAAGACAGGTGGAGTCTGGAGGAATCCTAGTGCAGGCTTCCCATGGGGGGTCACACAGAGCATGTTCCTCCCCCAGCGACAGTGCAGCAGCATGTGTGTAATGTTTCTGCCCAGGGATGCCTGTTTGAGACTTAGCACCCTGGGTTTTTTTTGGGGGGGACGAGTCATAAAGGCACCCTCTGCCTGACACCTACCAAAATTCCAGGCTCCTAGAAGGAAAGCAGGTGTTCAGCAAAAACCATGTTGTTTATACAAACAGTCAAGGCACAGTTAACCACCTTTATCATTTAGGGAATGGTGAGAGCACTCCCAAAAGCTGAATTCCCAGATGCCAGTCCTTTCTAAGACTGGCAACTCGGGCCTGCAAAGGTAATGCTTCTGACACAGAACGCTTCCTATTTCGTGAGTGAGGAAACGGGCCTGAGGTCACCAGCTAGGATTGGAACTGAGGCCTGACTCCCAAGCCTGTTGCCTGATGCCTGTGGCCTCTTGAATGTGAACTGTTTCTTGCTCATATTCCCTCTTCCCTTCCTGGAATGTGCTTGGACACACAGGGGCCGGTCAGAACCTTGGTTGGCAGGTCCTGTGCCCAGGAGCGTGCAGCCATGGGGGCGACTACTTTCATGGATGTCAGTTTCCATGTCCGACCCCAGAAATGTCCCAGCAAACATGGAAGGGTTTTCTCACAGGGCCTGTGACTTGCTCTTTGCTCTTCGGGCAACTTGCCCACCACCAGGCCTGAGATCCTGAAGCACGAGATGAAGGTGTTCTTTGTGAAGTACAATGACCCCATCTACGTGAAGCTGGAGAAGCTGGACATCATGATCCGCCTGGCCTCCCAGGCCAACATCGCCCAGGTCAGCAGAGGGTGGTGCCCAGCGCACCGGGCTCTGTGAGCAAGCTCTCCACAAATGAATGTTAACTGATATTTTTGTGATTAAAGAATTTGTTCTCTCTGTTATTACTTCACATCCATTGAAGTGGTAGTTAGGTGGATATGTTAGCTAGATCAACCAAACTAAGGATTGTCCATCCCTGCCAACTAGTCCTTCCTGTTTTCCTCTTGGGGCACCTGTGACAGCTCTCTCCCTCCCTTGGAACTTCTACTTCGAACAGGAGGCAGAATCCCACCTTTCTAGGGGTGTGTGCATACCCACAGCCCAGGGGTGTTCCAGGAGGTTGCCCTGCCAGATCCCCCCAACTGCATCTTTGGGCCACAGGTGTTGGCGGAGTTGAAAGAGTACGCTACAGAGGTGGATGTGGACTTTGTACGGAAGGCTGTGCGAGCCATTGGCCGTTGCGCCATCAAGGTGGAGGTGAGGCTCTGAGACTCTGTCCTTGGCGGGGGGAAGGAGGAAAGGAAAGGAAGCTCAAACCAGGAAACCAGTCTGATTCCAGCAGAATCTGCCAGCTGCTCATGGTCCAGGAAGGCCTGAGGGTCACAACTGGAGCCCCCAAGGTACCCACGGTACAGATTTGGTTGGGCTCCTTCTCATCTGTAATCTCCCGTGGGCCTCTGAGTTGCTGCAGGTGAAATTAGCCCATCATCGTCAGGGGTCTCCTGCAGCATTAGCTAAGACAGTGTGGCAGCCCAAGCTGGTGGTGGCCCTGGTAGACTTAGCTCTCACTTTGTGGAGCTTTGGGGCAGGGGCTCTGCCTATTGGACGTTTTGGCAGATATCATGATTCAGCTGTCCATGTGCCCTTATCTTCAAATTCCCAAGGGTCATTCAGACCCCTGTGTCCTGGCACTTCATCCCTCCCATTCTTTGCCTCTGGAGAGGTTCCTTGATCACTGATCTGACTCTCCTTAAATGGGTCTCCTGGAGGCTAGGGGATCTGGGACAGCTGGTCACTTTAGCCCAGCCCCTTGAGACGTTTTCCATTTGGCACCCGTGATGGCAGTCTGAGAAATCTCTCCCATAGAGCCTAATGCAGCGTGTTGGAGTAGAGGGGTGTGGGGAGGGCTGGTCCAAGCAGAGACCTCCTAAATGCTTCTGGTCACGGGAGCCCATTTTGTGGAACAAGTAGAAGTGAAACCCTGCTCTCAGGGCTTGGCCTAGAAGAGCTCCAAAGACCCTCCCTGCTCTCAGAAGCTCTACTGGCCTTCTCCTCAGTCTAATTCTATCTCCCTGTGTCCCTGCCATCCCAGGACCATCATTTTGTACTCATTCTCCCACCTGTTACCTGCAGAGAGGGTTCTCCTGTTTTCCTGCTGTGAAAAGGAAGGTGGGCAAGGTGTGACTGAGCCCTTGACCAAGGCATGTTGGTCAGAGGTTCTGCTGGAAGTGGGTGTAAGGCCTTGCCCACACTCTCCTCTTCCCACACAGCAATCTGCCGAGCGCTGCGTGAGCACACTGCTCGATCTCATCCAGACCAAGGTCAACTACGTGGTCCAGGAAGCCATCGTGGTCATCAAGGACATCTTCCGCAAGTACCCCAACAAGTATGTGGCTGCCCCCCCGCCCCATGAGGGTGTTGTGGCTCTGCCAGGGACGGGCTGGTGGGGAGGAAAAGCAAGGAGGAGCCTCTCCCTCTTCCTTATTTTTCTGCCGTAAACAGCATTCTCAAAAGAAACCCTTTATTTTTTGCTTATTTCTCCTGAGCCGACCCTGCTCTGCTCCCCAGGCCCAAATAAGAACTGAAATGTAAAGGATAAAACTCAAATCCTGTTACTTGCCAGCCTCTCGGGCTCTTGTGGGACAGCTGCCCGTCTCTGTTGGCCCCTCCCGGGCCTCCCCTGGGTGGCCCGGGCTCCCTCAGTGCTCACGTGCCGGCCGTGCCCTGGTCTCCAGGTATGAGAGCGTGATCGCCACGCTGTGCGAGAACCTGGATTCCCTGGACGAGCCTGAGGCCCGGGCCGCCATGATCTGGATAGTGGGCGAGTACGCCGAGCGGATAGACAACGCGGATGAGCTGCTCGAGAGCTTCCTAGAGGGCTTCCATGACGAGAGCACCCAGGTGAGATGTTGGGTGGCCGACTTGGGCATGGCCAGCAGCTCAGCACCTGCGGTCCCTCCTGCCCTGAAACCCTCCTCTCAGCCAGGAGGCCTCAGGGCCCTGCCCCTCCTAAAACTGCACTGACGGTGCAGACAGACACAGGAGTGCTGTATGGGTGACAGGTGTGGCTCCTTGCCTCCCACACTGCGGTACCTAAGGGGGACATGTGAGGACACTCTGTGGTGGTGGCTATTGAAGACTGCAAAAGTTTCTGGTTTTGTTTTAATTTTGTATTTATGTTTGGATAGGTATAGTACATTGACTTGGTTCAAAATTGAAAAGACACAAAAGGATATATAGTGAAAATTCTGTTTCCTACCACTTTCCTGGTCACAAGTTCTCCTGGAGAACACCATGTTATTTATTGGTTTCTGGCGGGTACTTCCAGAGAGAGAGTTTAGGAACACACCAGCCAGTTCCTCTACAGAGACATGAATAGTCAATTTTCATCGTTTGTGGTACTTATATTACATAAAGTCAAACACTGATTTAGTAAGTGCTAAACCATTGCTTCCAGGAGAAATATAGAGTTGGGTTCCTACAAACCCCAGTCACAGCATTTTTATCAGCTGGTCAAGGTAAACCTTGTTTTATGTGTGTCTCTGTTTAGAGACACCTTATTTATTAATATATTACTGTTGATTCATTAGCATTGAACTCACAGCCAGCAGCACTGTAACTCATGCCTGAACAAAGCTCATCTAACACATGTATTTTCTCTAAAAGGCACATCACAGCCTTCTTGCGCTTAGGAACACCAGATAGCGCTTTAGCACTACACTGGGGGTGGGATGGGGGCATTTTAAACAGCAAAATCACCAACAAAAAGCACCAAAATGTGAAAGACATGGCACTAAGTAGACTGTGAAGAAGTCACTTGTTTACAGTATGAGAGTTGAGACAGACGGCAGGGCACCGCCTCACTCGACCTCAGCTGGGAATGTGTACTTCAGGCAACTCGAATTTTTCACTGCTGTGCATGTCTGTGAATGACCGTGAAAACGCCACAAGCACTGATTTCAGGGTCACCAGTAAATTTTAGCAAGCAGACAAATTTGCAGATGTGTCCTCTGTGAATAATGAGGATCAACTATATATATATATATTTCTTTCTCACTTTTTAAAAATATTTATTTATTTATTTTTGGCTGTGTTGGGTCTTCACTGCTGTGCACGGGCTTTCTCTAGTTGTGGCGAGCAGGGGCTACTATTCGTTGCAGCGTGCAGGCTTCTCATTGCAGTGGCTTCTCTTGTTGCAGAGCACAGGCTCTAGGCACACGGGCTTCAGTAGTTGTGCTACACAGGCTCAGTAGTTGTGGCTTGCGGGCTCTAGAGCGCAGGCTCAGTAGTTGTGGCACACGGGCTTAGTTGCTCCGTGGCATGTGGGATCTTCCCAGACCAGGGCTCAAACCCGTGTCCCCTGCATTGGCAGGCGGATTCTTAACCACTGCGCCACCAGGAAAGTCCCCTCACTTATTTTTTTTTTTTTTTTTTCCCTCACTTATTTTTAAATACTGATAGTAAACTATACAAATTGAAACTGATCAGTACCTTTCATTTTTCCCTTAAAAATACATTGGAAGGCCATGCCATTATTAATTATTAATTTGTGCCATTATTAATTTACAATTTCAGAGGAGTCCTTCATGCAGAAGGACCATGTTTGTTTAACCAGCCTCCCCTGACGGATATTTAGGTGTCCAACCTTCTGCTCTTTTAAACAGTACTGCTGTGAATAACCTGTGGAAAGCACACCTGCATGTGCAGCTGGAGGGTGAATTCTTAGAAGCACGATGCTAGGTAGAAGGGCCCGTGCATTGCAGGTTCAGGTTGCTGTAGCAGATTTCCCTTGGTGTGGAGATTGTTCTGGTTTACACTCCTGTCTCAGAGGTGGGAGAGTCCTCTCCTTACCTCCTTTGCCAGCCTAGTGCATGCTCAGACTTTATTTTTGCCTATCTGATTGATAACAAATGGTACCTTGGTATAGTTTTGTTTGCATTTCTGTTTTGAGTGGGGTTGAACATCTGTACGTTTGTATTCCCTCTTACGTGAACTGTGCTCATGCACGTGGGGCCTTTAAAATGTCTGTGAGCACAGAAATCTTAGCTGCCCAGCTGGCGCAGTGGAACCCAGTGGATCAGACTTTGGACCTTGAATCGGAGATATCAGAGTCCAAACCCCTCTTCTGCCCCTTCCTGGCTTGCTGCCTTTATGCTAACCCTTTACCTGTCTGAGCCTCAGTTTCCTCATTTACAAAATGAGAGTCATAAGACTTTCCCTCATCCTGTGCTGTGAAAGTTAAATGGGATGCTTTGTGTAATGTCCCTAACACGTGCGCAGCCCCTAAATTAGAAGCACTCATTAATGGTGGTGTCAGTGTTGGTCGGAATTGGTTTAAAAGCACACTTGTCCAGGCAGAAAACGGGACCTTTAGGTTCCTGTAGCTGAGTCCAAGGAGCGTTCTCTCTTCTGCACCCCTGGGTGAAGGTGCGTGGGTGGTGGCAGTGGGGCTGTCTCTGCCTTCCTTGGGTGGCATTGCCCTTGGGCAGGCTCCCCACCAGTGAAGCTTGCGAGGTGTCAGTGCTTCCAGGCTACGTCCTTCTCACTTAGCAACCCCGTAACTGCCTTCCCCTCAGTGGTTCCAGCAACAGTTCAGGCCTGTTTGCATTACCCTGAGCCAGTCCCTGTCTCCGTGGATTGAGAGGGCCAGAGAGAAGGACAGTTCCCTGAGGGAAAGCCAGCGTTTCAAAGCCAGAAGATCGAATGGATGCTGGGTGGGAAAAACAACAGGTGTCTGTCACAAAATAATAATAGTAATTCTCACCGACTCCCACTGCCACCTGCCACGTCCAGCTGGCAGCCTGCCCCAGGGCTGCCTCCACTTCCACCGCACCAGCCTCCCTCCCTTGTCAGAGGAGCAAAGCCCAGTCTGGGCTGGTTTCTGCTCCTGTAGTCAGGTCCTGCTGGGATGACTGCAGAGGATGCCCTGTGGAGGTGTTTCTGCCTGTGGCTCCTCCCCCATTGTAGGGTCTGGAGCGTTCAACCGCCAAGCCCATTTCCTCATCTCTGGCACAGGGTTCCTGCAAAGCTTATTGGATGTTGTGTGTAAACTGCCCGCTCCAGTGCTCAACAAACAGTAGTTGGGTGGTGGTGGTGTTTTAATTAGATGGCCTGTTTCCTTTGCCTCCTGGGTTCACAGCACAGTTCAGAGCTTTTATAAGAATACTTAATGCTTTGCAGTTTGGGAACTTATTTATTTTTGGCTGCATTGGGTCTTCATTGCTGCGCGGGCTTTCTCTAAGTTGCGGCGAGCAGGGGCTTCTTATTACGGTGGCTTCTCTTGTTGCAGACCGCGGGCTCAGTAGTTGTGGCGCACGGGCTTAGTTGCTCTGCGGCATGTGGGATCTTCCCGGACCAGGGCTCAAACCTGTGTCCCCTGCATTGGCAGGCAGATTCTTAACCACTGCGTCACCAGGGAAGTCCTAGGAACTTACTTTAGATTGTCTCTTTGAGCCCCCTCGTCCTGGCTCCTAAGCCTCTCCAGCCGTGGACAGGGAGCGCTGCGTCTGGCCTGTCTGAGGGCAGGGGCAGCGGCATCTTGGCAGGGGGACTGCCCGGACCTGCAGGCTAACGGGAGCCTCAGTGTGTGTGTGGGGAGACGAGGTAGGGAGCTGAGGCGGCCCTGTTCCCAGGCAGCACTGCAGACCCGACAGTGATGAATGAGTGCTGGCAGCCAGCTGCCCGGGATTGGAGAGAACTTGGTAAAGAGTCCCTGTGTGGCAGTTGTGGTGACGTTGACGATGATGACAGCTGTTGTGCATTGAGCAGAGGACACAGTTCTTTCCGTTTGTTGTCTCATTGACTCTTCCCATCAACTCTGTGAGGTGGTGCCTCCATTTTATAGATGAGGAAACAGACTCAGAAGTTAAATGGCTCGTCCAGGGTCACCAGCTGGGAAGGCATAGAATCAGAGTTCAAATGAGGTGTGATGTAACTCTGGCTCCAAGTAAGCTGCCATAGATTGGTCTTCAGAGCTCACAAGGACCCCCTGAGGTAGGCCACACATCTCCCTCAACGACTGAGGGTAAGTGGCTTTCTCTAGGCTACCCAGCCAGCGACTCGAGCCAGGTCTGGAAGCCAGTCCCCGAGCCACCTCCTGCCTTGGACACAGCTAGCCTGCTCCTCTGCCATTGGCCCATGTGTCACCAAATTGCAGGGACTCTGGATGCTTAGTCCCAGAAACAGACTGCATCCCCTCAATCCTGCATACCAGGGCAGCTAAGCCATTTGTTTTTGTAAGTGCCCTCCTACCGGACAGGCCCAGGAGGTGCAGCCAGCCCTGTTGCCACCCTTCTGCCGCAGGCCTGTCCCTAGCACAGTCTGGGGAGCCTCAGGCTGTCCTCTTGTCCCAGGACTGACAAAATGCGATGGGGCTAAGGAAGGTCTATGCACAGAATTGTTCTTTCAGAGGTGTGTTTTTAGTCAGCAGGTTTTTCCTAAGTGCCCGTTACACACCAGGCACTAGAATGAACAATAGCCAGGGATGCAGCAGTGACAGACACGATCCCTGACCTCAAGGGGATCTCTCCATAGGGCTTCCCAGTGGCTGGAAAGCATCTCCAGTACTGTGGGGTGGTGCCAGTGAGGGGGACAGGAGGCTACAGAAGTGGGGAGGGGGCACAGGAGGTACGTTCAGGTGAAGACAGTGGCAGGTGAGAGGTGGGGCTGGTGGGGGCGGGGCAGGAATGGTTCCCGTCCTCTGGTGGAAGCACAGTTCCTCACAACAGGCTGACTGTGGGCCCTGCTGCCCCAGTCTGCTGGGCATCCCTGGCACCTGTTGCACTTGTTGGCAGATGGTCTTTAATAAGCATACCAGGCACATGTGTTGCCTCCGTAAGCTGCGGGCTCCTGAAGGCTGTGAGGCCTGGAGCCCTGATGGGTTTCTGGGACCCTAGCACTGGGCAGCAGCCCCCACCTGCCTGGGGTTGCCAGATAGCACTGTGGGCAGCTCCTTCCTGAGCGGTCGGGCGAAGGTCCAGGCTTCTCAGCACTACCTCTCCCCTGCTGGACTTGGCCTGTTTGTGTGGCCAACCCCAAACCCCGGAAAGCTGTTCTCAGCCTTTGAACATCGTTTTACCTCTCTGAGGTCCTCACCTGGTTTCCTACTGTCCCCACAAGAAGCTTACACTCCTTCCTCGCCTCCTCTCTGTCTTCCTGCAGGTCCAGCTGCAGCTGCTGACAGCCATCGTGAAACTCTTTCTGAAGAAGCCGACAGAGACTCAGGAGCTGGTGCAGCAGGTCCTCAGCTTGGCCACTCAGGTGGGTGCGCAGCCTGCCTGATGTGCCCAGCACAGCCCTTGTTCCACGGAGGGAGCTTCAGTCCAAGGAGCCAGACCTGGGTGGTCCTGCCCCTAAAACTGGCACCACTGGGATTTGGTCCCAGAGCATTCCAGGATCCCTGCTCAAGGAGCTCAGTCACAATCAAATAGAGGTGGGGCAGGGGCAGGTGGTGACTGAGCCAGACCATACATGAGAGAGGAGAGGGAAGTCCCTGAGAACCGGGAGGGCAGACGGTGGAGGACGCAGGGAACGGAGGCAGGAGCGGGCTGGGGGGAAACCGGGGGGCTGGGCCACATCTATTCAGGCGGTTTACAGGTGTGCTCCCGCCAGTGCTCAGGTTGCCATCATCAGTCACCCTGTGATCCCCTCCATGTCGTGGGACTACGGATGGGGCTCCCCCTTCCCCTCACCTGGTTGCTCCGAGTTTCACTGGCTTCTCATCACCTCCCAGGACTCAGACAACCCGGACCTGCGAGACCGCGGCTACATCTACTGGCGCCTGCTCTCCACGGACCCCGTGGCTGCCAAGGAGGTGGTGCTGGCGGAGAAGCCGCTCATCTCGGAGGAGACAGACCTCATCGAGCCGACGCTGCTGGACGAGCTCATCTGCTACATCGGCACCCTGGCCTCCGTCTACCACAAGCCGCCCAGTGCCTTTGTGGAGGGGGGCCGGGGCGTCGTGCACAAGAGCCTGCCGCCCCGCACCGCCTCGTGAGTACCAGGGGCCACTCGCTGGCCTGAGCCTCCCCATCTGCTTCCTCGGTTCAGTAGCACAAGCACTCGGGCCTGAGTCTGAGCAAAATTACGATTCTAGCAACTTTTTAGTGAATGCTTACTACATACCAGGTATTGACTCGGTGACAACAGCTCTGAGAGATGTCCTCTCTTAAGAGATGGGGACAAGAGGCATAGAGAGCTTGAGTGCCTGGTGCAGCATCCCAGGCAGCAGAGCTGGGCTCAGACTCGATTCTGCCTGACTCCAGAGCCCCGTTCCTCTCGCCTTCCTGCTCTGCGGCTCCCAGGGTTGTTGGCCTGGTTGTCCAGTCCTCTGGGGACCAGCACCCGCTCTTCTCTTTAGAGTGGGCTGAGTGAGGGGAATACAGATGGCCCTCCCTTCCCTCAGCCCGTGAAGCTGGATCTCTCAGAGAGCCAACATGATGGATCAGGCGTCGGAAGGCGGAGGAAGGGGGGATATAGACAGGCTTCTGGGACAGTGAGGAGACCCAGGTGCCTCTCCTGAGGGTGGATCCTGGAGACTGGGGGCTCTGGCCTCCCTGAGATAGCCTGACCCCCCACCCTGCTGAGCCTCTTTCCCTGTCCTGACAGGAGTGAGAGCACAGAGAGCCCGGAGACGGCCCCTGCTGGAGCGCCCCCTGGCGAGCAGCTGGATGTCATCCCCACCCAGGGCGACCTGCTGGGCGACCTCCTCAACCTGGACCTTGGCCCTCCGGTGAGTGGCCCACCCCTGGCCACCTCCTCGGTGCAGATGGGAGCTGTGGACCTTCTCGGCAGCGGCCTCGACAGCCTGGTATGTCCTGGGGCCCCCTCTGGATGAGGTTGATAGTGATCTCTGGAGGACCGATCGTTGAATGCCCTCTCTGCCAGACGCCAGCCAAGGGCTTCAGGCACATTTGCCTGCGAAGGTGATCATGTAGCTCCTTACACATCGGTGAGAGACTGAGGCTTAAAGAGGTCAGGTGACCTTCCTTCCAAAGAGAACACAGCTGCTAAGTGGCAGACACAGGATTTAGCCCCTTGCCGGGCTGCTGAACCCCAAGAGACCTGGAGCAGTGTAGGGCCTGTCTTAGCCCCTTCCCCTGAGTCTGGCACCTCGGCCCTGTAAGCCATACCTGCATCCACTTACCCCACATGCTGCACTGGTTGGGGGTAGCAGCCCAGCAGGCCTGAGAGAGGCCCATGAGAGGTCAGGGACAGTCCCTCTTCCCCTGTGAAAGGGGGTGGTAAGACTGGTCTGGGTGTTTCCCTGGGATTTCTTCAGGCAGCTGGTAGAGCCGGGTGGAGGGGGCAGTGGGGCCCTTGTCACTTGGCTATGCCTGTCTCAGGTCCCCAAGGCCACAGCATAGGAAAGGGTAGGAAGGACGAGGGTGGTCAAGTGAGGCCAGTGGCTCATGCCCTTCGTAGAGACAATGTGGGCCCCTCATAGGCCCGGCACAGCTTCACACCAGGCCCCTTTTGGGTGGAGCAGCAATGACTAATTTTCTCCCTCTTTCTCTCTCTTTCTTATCTCTCTGTGTCTTCTTTCCTGGCTTTTCTCTCTGCATGTGGCTGCCTGTTCTCTTCACCCTGCCTGCTTCTGCTTGGAGATGGGGGATGAGCCTGAAGGGGTATGGTTCAACCCTTGTGCCACCAACCCTGCTGCTCCTAGATCGCGCCCCCAGCATCCCAAGGGTCGGGTGATGTCAAAGCAGTTCCTCCCTGCTAGCCCTGGCCTCTGTCCAGTGTCCTGGCATCCTCCGCATTGACTGCCCAGCATCCAGCTGCCCTTGGGCCCCCATGTCCATTAATTCCTCAGCCCATCCTCACTACCCTACAATGAAGTTGCCTTGTCATCCTGAGGCTCGCCGGCCCTCTCAGTCCCCACAACCCCTCTCTGACATCCTGGGGTGCGTGCTGTCATCTGCTGAGCACAGCCCCCTCACAGCATTGTGTCTCAAGTACCCCTTTATCCATGGGCTGTTAGTTTGTGAGTGTCCCCAGCCCTTTCCCTCAGGGCCTGCGGAGCACGGGAGGGCTCGGCCTCTCCTCTCCACCCACCTCACTCTGTCTTGTTTCTGCAACTTAGAGTTGATGTGATTGCAGCCCTGCAATACCCCCTCCTGGCCTGCCCCCCTGTTTTCTAAAGGGCCAGGTGGCCACACTCATCCTGGGGCCCTGATGTCCCTGCCTTTGATGCCCGCCTTTGACCTGTTTCCCTTCCTTTCTAGATCGGGGCCTCCAACTTCGTGTCACCCCCAGCAGCAGCAGTACCAGCCAACCTAGGAGCACCCATGGGCAGTGGCCTGAGTGACCTCTTTGACCTGACCAGTGGCGTGGGCACCTTATCAGGATCATATGTGGCTCCCAAAGCAGTAAGTGCCGTGGCTTCTCTCGTGGCAGGACGTGTGGCTCCTTAAGTGGCCCACTGTGTGGGATCGGCCCTGGCCGGCCAGGATGGGCTCCTGGAGCAGCAGTTGGCCAGCACGATGCTGAGGGCAGCAGGGAGCACAGGGAAGGGATGCTAAGTCAGGCGTGGAGGCCTGGGGAAGGCTTCACAGAGGGTGGTGTTGCTGGAGCTCAGGCCTTCAGATCAAGTCAGAATTAGCAAGGCAAAAATGGGGAGCGGGCTCCAGGCCCAGAGTTGAGGGAAAGCCCACACCTTCCAGAAAACTGGCAAAAGTCCCATCTAGTTGGGTCAGTGGTTCTCAGTGCTGTCCTACCCAATGCTCCTAATTGATAACAGGGGTTTTTTAATGCCCCCTCCTTTCATAATAAATGAGATCTGTGGACTGTATATCCTACCTATACATATAATTTCAAAAATGGTAAGATGTTGTCATCGCATAAAAGAGACTTAAGGGTTTCCCTGGTGGCACAGTGGTTGAGAGTCCGCCTGCCGATGCAGGGGACACAGGTTCGTGCCCCGGTCCGGGAAGATCCCACATACCGCGGAGCGACTGGGCCGTGAGCCATGGCCGCTGAGCCTGCGCGTCCAGAGCCTGTGCTCCGCAACGGGAGAGGCCACAACAGTGAGAGGCCCGTGTACAGCAAAAGAAAAAAAAAAAGAGAGAGAGAGACTTAAAAAGAAGAGAGTAAAATGATGTATTTCAGTGTTGTGGAGGCTTGGGCATGCCCGCCCCAGATCTGATCACATTGTTGGGTGCTGGCAGCAGTGCAGAGTCACAGTGACACCACAGCTATAGAGAGTGTTTGTAGCTCACGTGCCATGAGTGATGTGGCCAGAGGTGCCATTAGTTTCTGAAATGGTGACTGACTTCCAGTTAAGTTCCAAACAAAACAAGAAACAGGCTTCCCTTGATTTTCACCATCATTAGTTTCCTGGAAATTTCAGGGCATGTTGAAACCATGCAGAAAATACTCAAGGGCTGCAGGACAGTGGCTCATTGTGAAGACCGTTGTCCTCAGGCAGCATCCCTGACCCCAGCCCACTAAACACAGTGTGTCCCCCCCACCCCACCATTGCCTGCCTGGCGGTGCCTCAGAATGCCCACTGGGCCACCCAGGGCAGTACCCCTACCCCCAGACTCCTGCCTAGACCAGAGCTGAGGAGGGAGGAAGCTGGCAAGGTCGGCTGCACCAGCTTTGAGCCTTTGTTCTTGATCCTGGTGCAGCAGGAGACATTGGAAGGTTTTAAGCAGGGATGAAGCAGATTTGCACTTGATAGCGATCCTCTGGCCACCATGTGGAGGCCAGACTGGAAAGGCTAGAGCAGAAGCAAGGAGCCGGTGGGGAGACTGGCAGGAGTTGGCTGATGGCTGCCGGACAGCAAGGCACTTGTAGGGGTGGAAAGGAGGCTGGACTGGAGGCAGGCGTAGCAGGACGTGGCAGGACATGGGGCTGGCGGGGAGGGGGATTCCAGCTGGAACAGTGGGCAAGGGGCAGGATGAGGGAAGGAGAGCTGAGTTAGGGGTGTGAGAACATGTGGGCCTGGCACTAAGGAGAGCACAGTGTGGGCCAGGCTTTTAGCCTCAAGGAAGCTGCCAGAGGGGACAGATGTGGCCTGATCCCTCACGACACTCAGGTCACACACCACGTCTGCCGCTTCGTTCCCAGCCAGAGCCGCTCTCTATTCCAAGGTCCCCTCCCCAAAGCAAGACACAGCAGGGCTTCAGGGGCACAGGGACATCTCCCTCATGACTGGGGAGCTATGAGCCAGCACCTGCCCTGCCCTGCCCACTACACCACAGTGGTGGTGGCCAGAGCCCCCAGCCAGGATTCCTGGCAGGATCTGGGCCTGAGGGGCCCCCAGCAGACGGCAAGTCTAGTGCTGGCAACTACACACTTCCGTGCCGGGTACTGCATGAACATGGCATGGCCACCATCCCACTAAGTCCTCCCAGCAGCCTTATGATGCTGTTATTCCCATTTTTGAAATTGAGAAATCTGATTGCTTTTTCCTAAGGTCACATAGCTGGTAAGTGACAGAGTCTGGAACTAATGTAGGGCTGTGGCACCAAAGCCTCTGCCCCCAACCCTTATGCGATCTTTTTGTTTTTCTTTAAAGATTTAATTTCATTTATTTTTGGCTGCATTGGGTCTTCGTTGCTGTGCACAGGCTTTCTCTAGATGTGGTGAGCGGGGGCTACTCTTTGTTGTGGTGTGAGGGCTTCTTTTTGCAGTGGCTTCTCTTGTTGCACAGCACGGGCTCTAGGTGCGCGGGCTTCAGTAGTTGTGGCTTGCGGGCTCTAGAGCCAGGCTCAGTAGTTGTGGTTCACGGGCTTAGTTGCTCCGCAGCATGTGGGATCTTCTCGGACCAGGGCTCGAACCCGTGTCCCCTGCATTGGCAGGCGGATTCTTAACCACTGCGCCACCAGGGAGGTCCCCCTTATGTGATCTTAAAGTGTTTAAGGACCTCAGTGTGCCTATCTTAATGTCAGGGGTTGTCAGAATCAGCTGGCCCTCAGGGAGCTTGCCCTCTACATGTGGGTTCATTTTAACAGGTATTATCACTGCTTTGTCTTAGTGGAGGGCCAGATGAGAGTACCAACTGGAAGGAGAGGTGAGGGGATCCCAGGTTAGGAGTAATCAGAGCAGGCTGCCTGGAGGAGGAGTCCTTGCAACATGGGCAGGACTTTCTCCCTCCCGCTACCGTAGTCACAGGCGGGTTCTGGGATGTGGGTGTGCTCTCCCTCCAGAAGCAGTGGCTGTGCGGGCTACATTTTCCTGACAGCGCTGTGACTACTTCGAATAGTTTGTCCTGCGTGCATTCCCCGCTCCTCCTGGTCAAGGGAAATGAGACTCTCTGTACAAGAACTTGGAGTTCCTCAAGCACTTGGGCCAGTGGATGCTGACAGTTCTAGACTCCATGAACCTACAATGACCAAGAGAGATGAGGTCCCCACCCTCGGCAGTCAGGATGGTGACAGTGCCAGAAAGAGCCAGTTTTGCAAGAACCTGGGAAAGGAAGCCAGGTTCCTTGGAAGGGCAGGGAGCAGGGAAGTCACCGTGGGAGCCCTCTGAGTGCTGTGTGCCAAATCACAGCTCATGGCTAAAGCCATGAGATTCTGCTCTCACAGATTTGTCTGGGGGAAGCAAAGCATGATCAGAGTTAGCAATTAGGACGGGGTTAGGGTGGGGCATGCTTTCCAAGCAGAGGGAGAACAGTGTGTGTGTGAGGACCAGAGCCCAGGGAGAGCAGGGCACCAGGCCTCGGAGGCCGTGGGCAGTGGAAGCATTGCAGGATTGAGGGGGTTCAAGGGTGCTGTGATCTGATTTGCATTTTAAAAGATGGCTTTGGCTGCTGTGGAAATTGGGGATAGAAGAATTGGGCAGCTATGCGGGTGGCTGCCATCTTACCTGGGGATCTCTGATGGTGGCTCAGACGCAAGCAGTGCCTGTGGAGAGGGGAGAGCAGAGAACGTGGTGGCAGATGGGAGGAGGTGGTGTTGACAGGACCTGAGCTGCATGACCATGGGGGTCATGGGTGGGCTGAGGGCTGGTGCCCAGATGCTCTGGTTCCTGGTGTTGGCGACTTGAGAGACAGTGGGGTGTTCACTGACACAGGGCACCTGGAGAAGCTGGCCTGGGGCGGGGCTGTGAGCTGTCCTGGTGAGAATGGCAACTTGAGAGGCATTTGCGCGTCCACAGGATGGCCCCTACTGGTGTCCCTCACGGGCACAGCTTTTAATTCATGCTGTTCGCTTAGCAAACGTTCCCTGCATACCAATCTCACACGAGGCTCCGAGCCAAGGATGCAAAGACAGAAAAGCAGAGCCCTCCCCTCGAAGAGCTGTCTGGGGACCTAGAAGACAGTTTATTTGCTAAAACGTCATTGCAGCGGGAGCCTGGAGAAGGAACCTGGGGGCAGGCTTCCAGGAGGAGGTGGGCTTGAGCTGAGACTCGGATGACAAGGGCAGCCAAGCAAGCAGCAGAAGACCTGCCAGGCGAGGGGTGCTCTTAGTACTGTCCTTGGTCAGGCCAGTTTGTACAATTAAAGGCCAGCCCTGCCTTCTGCGAGGAAGGGCAGGCTGTGACAGCCAGGGAGGCCTCAGGCTCTGGCTGAGGCCCAGAGTGCCCTTGGCTCTCGACTCTCCTTGGCTCGTCAGGAGGCTGGCAGGGCCCGCTTGTCTCATCGCCTTCCTGAACCCTGCTTCTGAGTCATCCTCTGACCTCCGGAGACTCGGCTCAGCCTTGGGCACACCAAGTTCCTCCCTGCCCTGTGCTGCTCCAGCACGTGGCCACACGGCTCGGGGGTCCTGGGCAGGCTGTGCAGGAGCCTTCCTCCCATCCTACGGTTCACATGGTCGTCCCCTGATGGTAAAGGCAGGTGTGATCAATCTGAGAGGCCCCTTTAGGTGTGAGGGAAGGGGGGGTGGGGGAAGGACCCTCACGTGGGCTATGGAGTTGGGGACATGGTGAACACCAGCCCCCTTCCCATCGTCTTCCCTGCAGGTCTGGCTCCCAGCTATGAAGGCCAAAGGATTGGAGATCTCAGGCACCTTCACCCGCCAGGTGGGCTCCATCTCCATGGACCTGCAGCTGACCAACAAGGCCTTGCAGGTCATGACCGACTTTGCCATCCAGTTCAACCGCAACAGGTGAGCTCCCTGAGGCCAGCCTGCTGAGAGCCCACGCTGGTGACTGCAGGCAGGCGCTGAGGGCTGTGGGCCTGGAGCCTCTTTCTGGTGAAGGAGGATATTCCTCACAACCACATCTCAGGCCAAAACTCTCTAAAGCAGTGATTTTTCCCCACAGTAACCTCTTTATGTGGACACCAAAGTATGAGGTGGAGGGGCAGCGCACCTCCCTTTATTTTTGCCTTCCCCCACTGCCCCGGGGGCATTTTACTGACATAATCTCCAGATCTGAGCAGCTCCTGTCTCAGGAGTCTCTAAGAAGGAGGATGGGGAGTGGGCCTGCCCCCCAGCCTCCCCCATGTGGCAGGATTAAACCACCAGACAGGGCCTCTGTGAATGGTGGCTGCTCCAGGCTCCTAACCCCTACCAGGTCCCCTTCCAGGGAAGTTCTCCTGTCTGGCACCATCAGGGTCTTCATGGACCAGGCCAGCTAGGCCAGGGCTCTCTGGGGGACCCCAGCAGCCTCTCCTGATGATCCTTCTTCCTGAGCGGCTCTAGTGATGAGCAAACTGAGCCTCTAAGAAGTTGACTGAAGGGGCTGTTTCCTCAGGGTGAGCCTGTGGGCCAGTGGTTTCCGACCCTCTGTCAGACCAGGGAGACCCTAGAGGCCACAGAAACACTCCAGTGTCTCTTACGCTCTTGGGCATCCTCCTGATTTGCTCACATGCTGCTATACCAAGAAGCAGGGCTTTTCTGAATCTCTGTGGCCATCTTATGATCTAGCCAGTTCTGGCCCAGACAGTAAAACCCAGTGTCTCGTTTGGGATGGTCACATCCCTCCTGGGAGATGGAGGTCGGTCACTGAGAGTTGGGCAGTCACAGAGTTTTCAAATTAAAAGAAGCTTAAAGGCCCCCTGGTTTGTTTTGTTTTGTTTTGTTGTTTTTTCCCCTGGTTTTAAATGGAGCTCCTTGAGGGCAGGGCAGGGGCACTCTTACCTGGGCCTGCCCAGCACCTTACCCAGAGGAGAAAGAGGAACAGAGATGGGCTTCAGGCCTTCAGCTGTCCCAGATTTCTCTTCCTGTTCCTGTGGCCATTGAGGGTTGGGGAGTGGGGGTCAGGAGCTTGTCCTTCAGGCCTGGGTCTGGGCCTGGGATGAGGTCGGCTCACTGGAGAGGCTTCTCGCCAGCTGCTGCCCAGGCTCCGGAGCCCCAGGAGCCCACCTGTCCTGTGTCAGCACCTGTTCCCCCGCCACCCCCACGGGGGCTTGTCTCTCCCCAGCTTTGGCCTGGCCCCCGCCGCCCCCCTCCAGGTCCATGCGCCGCTCAGCCCCAACCAGACTGTGGAGATCTCCCTGCCTCTCAACACGGTGGGCTCAGTCATGAAGATGGAGCCTCTGAACAACCTCCAGGTATGTTCCAGGCAGGGCTTGGCACCCCAGTCCTTACCCACCTGCCCCGGGGAGGAGCCTGGGGGAACCGTCTGGGGCCTGGCTGGTGCTGGCAAAGGGCTGTCTGTGGAATCTTGCTCTTGGACACAGACTGGGGGCAGGGATGGGGAGTGGGGGAGGCCGGTGGGAGGGGGTGTTGGGCATGGCTACCGGGGAAGTCATGAGAGGGAACCTGCTCAGGTGGGCTCACAGGGAGCAGGCACTTCCTGGGGCCTTCAGGGTGTCGAGCATCAGGGACTAATCGGGGACCCCCTTGTTCCTAGGTGGCCGTAAAGAACAACATTGACGTCTTCTACTTCAGCACCTTGTACCCGCTGCACATCCTCTTTGTGGAGGATGGGAAGATGGGTGAGTCATGAGGGTGCCTCTGGGATCCCTAGAACAGATGGATTGGCTTTGCCCCACGATAGACTCCATGAGTCACCGGCTCCCCTGCAGAGTCTGGAGTGAGGGTCACAACTTCACCGGGGCCCCCAGGGTCTTATCTGGCCAGCTCTGCCCCTCAGTCTTGCCTGCAGCCTCTAGACAGTCGTCGCATGGGCCCCCCGAGGCAGGGAGCCTCGGCCATGTGTCACACCTGATGCCCATCCCCTGTGCCCCAGCTGGAACCCCTGGGAAGACTCATCCCAGCACCCATAGGGCATGGAGCGCTTTGCCCACGTCATCTCTGTCACATCAGAAGCTCTGTAACACCGCTGTGACTAATGAGCAGGGTGCTCGGCTCCAGAGCAGCAGGAGGTCGGATTTGGGTGGTAGTGGGGAGAGCTCTGAGGCCCAGAGGCAGGAACCCTGGGTCTTTTGGGAACAGCACAAGTGGCCACCCTCACAGAGCTCAGGGTTTGCTCAGGGAAGCAGGAGGGGCTGTGGCAGAGCCAGTCCTGTCCTCAGCTGCAAGGTGGCACTGCCCCCCGACCCACTTCCTGCTGAGGGTTACTGAGCGGGAGCAAAGGTGTATCAGGATCCCACCTCTACCCCTCCAGACCGGCAGATGTTCCTGGCCACGTGGAAGGACATTCCCAATGAGAACGAAGCCCAGTTCCAGATCAGAGACTGCCCCCTGAATGCGGGTAGGACTCCTGAGCCCCGCCCCCACTCCATGCTGCCCCTCGCCTGTGCCCCAGGCCTCCCCATCTCTGACTGGGGGCCTTCTGACCCCCAGAGGCCGTAAGCAGTAGGCTGCAGAGCAGCAACATCTTCACCATCGCCAAGAGGAACGTGGAGGGCCAGGACATGCTTTACCAGTCCCTCAAGCTGACCAATGGCATCTGGGTGCTGGCGGAGCTGCGCATCCAGCCCGGCAACCCCAGCTTCATGGTGAGGGCCCCCGCTCCTGCCTGCCTGCCATGGGGCCTCTGCCTTCTTGTCTGGGCAGCCTCTCCCGTTCCCCTCCTTCCCGGGCCAGGGGTCGGCCCTGATCGGGGGGCACTCTAGCCCAGCTGAGCTGGGATCCCTTTGAGCCTGGCATTGGAGGAGCATCAGAATTCTGACCTTAGAAAGCTTTCAACTCAGTCCCATCTAGTTTCTCAGATAAAACACCAAGTTGGGTCTCAGAACAGTGAGTTGGACCAGAAGATTCTGTAAAATTGGGCCCTGTGAGGCGGCCCAGTTGGCCCAAGGCCCGTCTGACTGGGAAGTGGCTCCGCTGGGCCCCGGCCCTGGCCCTCCGGCTCTTCCTCACCTGAGTGTCCTCCTGGGAGGATGTGGATTCCGAGCAACTCATCCTTCCTGACCTTTGAGTCAGACCTCAGTCAGGACGTGGCTTCCCAGAGGCCAAGCTGCTGTTCCAGGCCCCAGAGAGCCCAGGCTTTGCTTCTCCCTGCACCCAAGTCTCGGGCAGGCATGACCCTCCAGAGGCTGCTCCCTGGGCTCCGCTGGTGGTGTGGGTGCAGAGGTCGGGTGGGGCCTCGGCGGTGGCTTCGGTGGTGGTAATTTCCGTCTCCCTGTGTTCGGTTGCTGCATGTCCACCTTCCCTGCTGGTGCCCGTGGTGCAGGACTTGGAGGTTAGCGGATTGCTTTTCTCTTCCTCTTCCCCTCCATCCTCCCAGCTGTACCTCGCACACCCCATCTCTTGGCCCGGCTCTCCTGAGTTGGCCTCACCCCGCTGCTCCCCAAAGCCGGGCAGACACGCATGCAGGCTGCAGGCAGGAGAATTGGCTGCCCTGTGCTCCCCAGCCTGGTGCCTTCACTTCCCACAGTCAGTGTGCACAGAGCCCTTCAGAGGAGACTGGGGCCCTGACTGCTAGAGCGCCACGTGCCCCTCCCCCTTCCCAACGGCCCCCTTCAGAGCAGTGATGTTGGCAGGAGGGGTGGCTGCGCTTGTCTCCGCTGCCAGGGCTCTCCAGGCTCTTCCCACAGTTAGAGCCGAGCCAAGTCTGATGTGCCTGCTTCCTGTGCAAGAAACCAGAAAGACCACCCAGCGTCCCCATGGCCTCCCTCCTGGCCCCAAACCTCCTCCGCCCTCCATGGGCTGTGGGGGGCCTGGCAGCTCTGCAGGGTGCAGCCAGCACTGCCTGGCAGCCTCGGGCTCGTGATTCACGCTGCAGAGGGCCATGGTGGTGGGCGGACAGCAGGCATGTGGGCTGCGAGTAAATTTGGTCCCCACCCGGCTGGCTGCAGCGGCCGCCCCCTCACCTAAACCACACAACAGCCCCAGCCACTGCTGCCACCAGGCCACGTGTGCGCACCACCCTCTCCCATCTGGTTCCCTCCTTCTCTGCCTTCCCCGCCTGTTCCTTCCTAGCCCTGGAGAGGAGCTCCGGGAATGAGCGCTCCCTGTCCCCTGACCCCTCTCTCCCTGCAGCTGTCCCTGAAGTGCCGAGCACCGGAGGTGTCCCAGCACGTGTACCAGGCCTATGAGACCATCCTCAAGAACTGAGGCCCCGTCCAGCATCCGCTCCAGCCTTCCACCAGCCGCGTCAAGGAGCCCCCTGGGAGGTGGCAGCACCTCCTTCTCCCGGGAGGGACCGGGCGAGGCTCCTGGCACCCACAGGCTTCCCTGGTCCTGACAGTAGGGCCTGCCTGGGTCCTCAGGATACTCGCGTGCTTGAGACCCCCCTCTTTCCATTGCTGCTGACGTTTAGCGTCAGGTGAGGAGGGGACCAAAGGAGCCAGAGCGGCACAAGAGCTGGACGGGGAGATCCAGGGTTCTTCTCTTGCTTTTCCCGGCACCTGAGGGCGAGCACGCAGTTCCCTCCTCGGTTCCCAGCCCAGGAAGCCCCGTGCCCCAGTCTCCCTTGGGCTGGTGTTAGTCTCTCTTGGTGGTGCCCTCCTCACCGCCTCTCTCTTGGGATGGACCCTGGCAGGCATCCTGGCGTGTGTGGAGGGTCCACTGGGTACCAGGAGAGCTGCTCTGTCAGGGCCTGGGGCTCCCAGGGCCTACAACCCCACCCTCCCGAGCACTGAGCCGCTCGGGGAAGACCATGTGGAAGCTCCCAGAGCCCCCCCCGGGCTCTTGCTCCCCTGGCAGACACGCCCGCCCGCTCCCCCTCTTGCCCGCGAGGACGGTCTCTGCCTCTGATACATTCCTCGATGTGTCCAGGGTTCCTGGAGCGGAGACACGGCTGAGAGGTGGGGCATGTGGGCGAGCGTGGTGCATCCTGTCTGGGGTTTCTCCTTAGCATCTGCTGCCCCCCTCCTGGCCTCCTTCAGTTGTGTCTGACAGAGCATTAGGTTTTCCTGTTACTGCTGTTTAATAATAAAGAAAGATTCTGCTTTTGGCAATCACGGACACTTTTTTCCTCTTCCACCAAATGTCAGAATTAAGAACTGCTTCCAAGTGGTTGAGGATGGTTTTCTTGAGCCCTGCAGAAACGATGTCTAATATATATAAATAGAGACTATATATTGTATGTTTACTCTTATTTTCAAAAAGAGAAAGTGAATAAAAATGATGACATCAAGTGTGTCCCTGGCCAGTGTGTCAGGTCCTGAGGCTCTTCTGGGCAGGGTCCTGGATCTCCTGGGGTCCAGGGTCAAGGGCTTGAGCTGTGTCAGCCCCTGCCTAGCCCTGCTGACAGTACCTTTCCCTCTCTTGTCCTTGGAAACTGCCTGCTGAGGCCTGCTGGTCTCCCAGCACCTCTCCCACCCTTGACCCCAGCTCCACCCGAGCCCATGCCGTCTTGCCTTTAGATGCTGGGAGGGCCGAGTGCATCTTGGTTTTCCTCAGCTCCTGGGAGCGGCAGGGAGGCCCAGCACCAGGCCTGTCTGGGCGGGCTGTTCCCCGCCCTGCATCTGCAGCGGCCTCCCCAGCCACCACCAGGGACACCTCATGTGGCCCCAGTTCTGGCACTGGCCTGGCTCCCGGGGTGGGGAGGGAGGTGGGGGGACTCTGGGCAGGGCTCTGTGGGCAGAGCTGCCAGTGGGTTCTCAGTGCCTCATGGCTGGTGGGCCCTCAGCCCCTTCTTGCCATGGCCACTCCCTGCACCCTGCCCATGCTGGACACACTGCTGTAGGCATTGGCAGGGGCACCTGGCCTTCCACTGCCCCACCTCTGACCCCTGGGGTGTCACCATACTGCCCTGGGACCCCAGAGTCTAGAACCAACCAAGGCCCCTGACCGTACAACCCCAGTTCTCGCCTCATCTGAAAGTCCCCAGCTCAGAAGGCCACACACAAACGCAGCTGGAGTCCCCTCCGTCTGTGGACTCACCGCAGCCTGCCCTGTCGCCTGCCGTCCTGACCTGCTGAGGCCCAACGCCCACCCAGCCTTGTGAGTGCACTGCTGTCCCCAGTGGGGCGATGATGAGGCCCAGGACCAAGCCCCTCAGGTGAGGGGGAAATGCCAGTGAGGAACGCTGTCCTGGCCAGACAGAGGCCCTTGGACTGTCATCAGACACCTTGGGTTCATGTGCTCGGGCCTCAGGCGGTTGTGGGAGGAAACTTACCATGATTTTGTCCCTCTCCAGCTTTCCTGTGCCTCCCTCACCCCAGTGACACCCATCACGTGCTCTCCCCAGTCCCGGTGTGCTCAGGTGTCCTTATTCTCAGCTCTCGATGCTTCTCAGGGGCCTTGGCATCTTGCAGAAGATTCTCCAGGGTCCTGAGCCTTCCCAGCCAGTCGGGGAATTCAACACAGCAACCAGTTATTTGAGAGGGTCCAACAAACACCCAGGGGCCTGATGGGTTCCCTGTGTGCCAGACACCCTGCCAAGGCCTGCGGCGTGACCTCATTGTACATTTTTTTTATCTTCAACTAGTGGTTTGTTTTATGGAGAGAGTGATTCTGGACCACGGTGAGATCAGTCACACAAAGGATAAAGTTCTCCCTTCCACATTTCCTCAGTTCTTATTTTCCCCCCTAGAGGCAAAGTTCGTTGCTACATTTTGGTTTTCCAGGAATAATTCTGTGCCTGTATAAAGCAAATCCAGGAACGTGTTTACTAAATAAATAGCACACCCTAGATGCTACCAGCACTTTGCTTTGTTTACCTATCAGTACAAATAGGCCTTGGAATTTCTTGTGCAGATGGGCTGTGTCTGCAGACGGACATTCTGGCTGTTTCCATCTTCTGGAGTCCAAGCAAAGGTGCAGTGAATATCTTTCTAGACATCCTTGCTCGTAGACACAAATGCAGCTATAGGATCTAGCCCCAGAATTGCTGGACCAGAGGGTATAAGCATTTCACATTTTAAATTTTAGTTCTTGTTTTGAAAAGGTAATGAATTCACATGGTTCAAAATCCAAAAGGCAAAAAGAATGTAGAAGTGAAATAATCCTTCTCATTCCTCTCCCTAAAGGGACCAGTGTTACCTTCCAAAGAGACTCAATGACGTCTAATACGATTTTTTCCCTTTTTATACACAAAGAGTAGCATGGAATACACCCCGATCTGCATCGTACTTGTATCTTCGAGACTTTTCCATTATTAGCCCATTATAGAGAGCGGCCTCATGCCTTTATATAACAGCCGTGTGGTTTTCCATTGAATGGAGGCACCATGATGAACCAGTCCTCGCCGTGATGTCCTCTTAATTGTGTCTTTGGTGGTGTTGGTGCAACTGATACTGCAAAGAACATTCATTTTCATGTCGGTAAATTCCTCAGACTGAAATTGCTGGTTCGAAGGTAGGTGCGTTAATCATTTTGATAGCTACTGCTAAAAATTCTCTAGTTTACACACCCACCAACCAGAAATGCGAAGCCTGTTTCCCCACACCCTCACACACTCAGCATATCGCGGTGTGTTTAAGTGACGGGCAAAAAACTGTACCTTACTGTGTTTTAAACATGCCTCCGTTCGTGTCTTTTCGAGCCATTTGTGTGTCCTTTTCTGTGAGCCGTTTTCTTATTTGTTGCCCTTTTTTGACATGGTTATTGGTCCTTTTCTTTCCGATTTGTCGTTATTTCTCCCCATTTTGTTACTGTTTTTACTTTTCCATGCTGAAATTGTGTTGGGCATTGTCTTCTTTTAATCTCTTCTTCCTTTTTTTTTTTTTTATAAATTTATTTATGTATTTTTGGCTGTGTTGGGTCTTCGTTGCTGTGCGCGGGCTTTCTTTAGTTGCGGCAGGCGGGGGCTACTTCTTCGTTGCAGTGCACGGGCTTCTCGTGGCAGTGGCTTCTCTTGTGGAGCACGGGCTCTAGGCGTGTGGGCTTCAGTAGTTTTGGCACGCGGGCTCAGTAGTTGTGGCTCACGGGCTCTAGAGCTCAGGCTCAGTAGTTGTGGCACACGGGCTTAGTTGCTCTGCAGCATGTGGCATCTTCCTGGACGAGGGCTTGAACCCGTGTACCCTGCTTTGGCAGGTGGACGCTTAATCACTGCACCACCAGGGAAGTCCTAATCTCTTCTTTCTTTCCAGTGCTTGTCTCATCTCAGTTTTTGCATTTTGAGCCTGTTCCATGTGGGCTTTATGTTAGGAACGAGGTAGGGATTCAACTTTCTTTTCCCAGATGGTTACGTAGTTGTTTCCACACCATTTACTGTATAATTCATCTTTTCCCCACAGATCTGAAATATCATTTGTATCATATACTAAATTTCCACATATATATCAGTGCTTTTCTGGACTCTGTTCAGTACCAGAGAATTTGTCTATTCATTGGTTATTGCATTTGTTTCTGTTTGTTTTTGTTTTTGTTTGGCTGTATCGTGTGGCTTGCGGAATCTTCCCTAACCAGATATTGAACCCAGGCCATGGCAGTGAAAGTCCAGAATCCTAACCACTAGGCCACCAGAGAACTCCCCACCACTGAGTTTTTTAAAAAGTATTGTACCTTTATATTTTCATAATTTATAGTACCCTCTTATTCACTCTTTTGGTCCCATTTGAACTTTAGAACTAAGTTTCTTTTTTTTTAATGATGGTATTGTTTTTATTTGGATCACATCAAATGTTTATATTAACTTATGGAGAATTGACATCCTCAAAACGATGTGAGGATAATAATATTAATAATATTAATCTGGACTTCCCTAGTGGCACAGTGGTTAAGAATCTGCCTGCCAACGTAAGGGACACGGGTTCGAGCCCTGGTCTGGGAAGATCCCACATGCCGTGGAACAACAAACAAATAAACAAAATAAATTAAAAAAAAAAACCCAAAACAAATAATAATAATAATATTAATCTGTACATCCAAATATAGGAGTAGATGCCTTTCCATTGGTTCATGCTTTCTTTTACGTCTCTATAACCTTTTTTTTTTTTATATATAAACTTATTTATTTTTGGCTGCGTTGGATCTTTGTTGCTGCGCGTGGGTTTTCTCTAGTTGCAGCGAGCAGGGGCTGCTCTTCATTGTGTGCATGGGCTTCTCATTGCGGTGGCTTCTTTTGTTGTGGAGCACAGGCTCTAGAGCACAGGCTCAGTAGTTGTGGCTCGCGAGAGCGCAGGCTCAGTAGTTGTGGTACACAGGCTTAGTTGCTCTGTGGCATGTGGGATCTTCCTGGACCAGGGATTGAACCCGTGTCTCCTGCATTGGCAGGTGGATTCTTAACCACTGCTCCACCAGGGAAGTCCTCTATAACCTTTTAAGTTTTCTTCATTTAAAAGTTCTCGCATGCGGAAGTCCCTGGCAGTCCAGTGGTTAGGACTTGGCGCTTTCACTGCCAGGGCTCGGGTTTGATCCCTGCAAGCTGTGGTGTGCCAGAAAAAAAAAAATTCTTGCATGCACATTTATTCTTCATAGATACATGAGTTTTTTCTATTTTTTTGTTCCTTTTGTAAATGGGATCTTTTCTATTCTTTTCTATATATATAATATGTTTATGATGTAAATGTTTATTAATATATAATACACAAGAATAAGAATAATATATATTTATAATATAAAATAAATAACAAATTATATAACATATAATTTTAAAACTAAACTCCAGACTTTATTCAGTTTTCACTAGTTTTCCCACTCATGTCTTCGTTCTGTTCCCGGATCCCACGTTCCATGTGGTTGTCATGTTTCCTGAGTCTCCTTAGTTCTGTGATAGTTTCTGAGACTTTCTTTGTTTGTCATGACCTTAACCATTCCGAGGAGTGCTGGTCAGGTATTTTGTAGACTGTCCCTCAACTTGGGTCTGTCTGATGTTTTTCTCACAGTTAGACTGGGGTTACAGGTTTTTAGGAAGGAGACAAGGGAGGCGCCCTTCTCGTCCCATCGTATCAGGGGTCCACACTATCGACGTGAGTTATCGCCGTCACATCAGCCTGGATCACTTGGCCGAGGTAGTGTTTCCAGTGGTCTCCACTGCGAAGTTACTTTCTCCCCTTTCCACACACTGTTCTTCAGAAGCAAGTCACGAAGTGCAGCCTACACTCGGGAAAGAGCGTGGGGGCAGGGAGCAGCTACATAAAATGTTTGGAATTCTTCTGTAAGGAAAATTTGTTTCTTCTCCTGCATTTATGTATTAATTCAATCATTTTATATCAGTTTGGACTCATGGATATTTATTTTATAATTTGGGTTTAATCCAAAAGTGCATTATTTATTTTGTTGCTTAAATTTTTTAAGCTTTGGCTATTGGGAGCTCTTTCAAGTAGGCTCTGTGTCTCTTTGACATGCCCCCATCCTTTGGCTTCTTTTGAGCACTTCCTTACTTTCCAGTACTATAAGATGCTCCAGGCTCATCTTTTATTCATCCTGCTCCAACCCTAGCATCAGCCATTTTCCAGGAAGCCTGGAGAACAGAATTAGAAACCAAGATCTGGGTGCTGGGTGTGTGTGTTGCTCTTGGGGTGGCACTTCTAGGCCCTTTCGGCAGACAGAACTAGGAAATATCTGTCTACATACTTACCTGTGTGTACACACATATGCCTCCGTTATAGTTTGTAAACTAGCATATAAAATGAAATTATTTTATATGTACAAACTTAGTCCCCCCACCAGCCTTACTAAATTGTCTTGTTTTCCTCTTTGTATCATCTCATTTCATCCCACAACAACTATATGAAGTCAAGACCATTATTATCCCCTTTAGAGAAGGAAACTGAGGTTCAGAGAGTTTAAATAACTTGTGCAGATGACACCCCTCCAGGAAGGAGGTTTCAAACCCTAGAGGTCTCACTCCAGAGGCCTGGAAGCCCTGCCCTGTGCTGCCTCCTTGTGTCCTGATGGTTATAAAACCCCATGGCATTCAAGGGGCTGACCGGCTACAATCAATGGGCAGCCTTACGATGGCCACCAAGGACCCACCGTGCATGAGGCATCCAAATGGTAAGGGTTCCCCCCATCAGGACTCTGGGGGAGTGAGTTAAGCTGGGACAAGTGATTAACAGGCAGGACAGACTATGATTAATGGTCAGTGGACTGACGCAGATGGCTGGGTGAGAGGAGTCCAGAGCAAATACCCCTGGGAGCTGGACGTGGTCCACGGTGCTCAACCCCAGAGAAGGTCTGGAATCAGGCCGGATGGGAAGAAACCTTTTGGGCAAATGTCAGGCAGTGGCCAACAGGCAGCCCGAGTTCTCTGGCTAGCTAGTCTTTGGGAAGCCTGGCCCTGGGCGGCCCACTTCTGTCTCAGCTCAGCTCCCACAGTGACAGGGGCTTCCTCAGAGTCCCTCCCTACAGGGCCCTAGGCTCCAGCTGACCTCCTCCTGAAGCCCTTCTGGTCTCTGAGCCCCAATGAAGTTGGGCTTCTCAGAAAGTCAGCTTCAGTGGCCTAAGGTCCTGGGTTCTGGTCCCTGTGCTGCCACTTTCCTGCTCATCCCTTTGGGCCTCAATGAGCATAGCTACAGTCAAGGCTTGGCACATCACAGGTCCTTTTTTTTTTTTTTGGCTGCACCTTGTGGCTTGTGGGATCTTATTTCCCCGACCAGGGATCGAACCCATGCTCCCTGCAGTGGAAGTTTGGAGTCCTAACCACTGGACCACCAGGGAATTCCCCACAGGTCCTTGATAAATGGGAATGGCTGCTAGTGATACTGATGGGAGACTTCCCTTGGGAATGTGTCACCCCTGTGGAGTGTGGACGACTTTGTGGGAGCTTTTGGACGTACTCTGTCCAGAGTGTCTTCCATCACTCCAAAAACCACACGCTAGGTCCCTGAGATGCCTCACACACAGCCCTGTCTGTGGTTCCCAAAGAAGCCCTACCCAAGAAAAGGGCTCTCTGTCAGAAAGTGAAGCAAGGAAGGTTTCCAGGACACCCAGAGCTGGCTCCCACGTGTGGGAGGGAGGGTGCTCCAGGCAGGGGTTGGTGGTCCCGAGTGCCCCAAGGAAGACCATAATGATGTCAGCCCCACACCCTGCTGAGTGCCAACAGGGAAAGTGGTGCCTAGTTTATTTACTCCCTGCCTTGTTCCCCAAAGGAACTGAGGCGGCTCACAAAACCCAGATGCCTGAAAAGTTAAAAAGTCAGAGGGGAAATCGGGTGAAGGGAAAAATCACAGCAGAAAGTAAAATAAAGCCAAGGGTCCCCACTCACTGGGCCTGAAGACCTAGAACACCTGTCAGATGTAGCCACAACTCTGGCTCTGCTCTCCCTAGTGGCTGAGAAGAATAGTGAGAGCAGACCCATATCCCTGATCCAGGTACCATCGCCTGCTCCCAGGAGGATGAACCCCACTCTCCACTTCAAGACTCAGCTCCTTCTCCCTCTCCCACTTCTCCCAGGCTAGGGTGGGCATGTTGTCTGTGCTCTTACAATTCCTGCATCCCATCCCTAGAACGTTCTCTCTTAAGGCAGGACTTTTTAAAAAACCTATCTCAGCATCCTGGCAAGCAGTAAGATTGGAGATGTTTGTTGAAGAGACAGATAAGAAAAACCCTTGTTCAGTGCAGAAACAGACATGCCTGTGCATTTCCCCCAGTACCTGGGCATCAGAGATGTGGGAGCCCCCCACTGTAGGGGGTAGGCAAGCAGAGGCAGAGGATGGGGCTGGTAAACCCAGACTTCCCAAGCCCTGATGGGGAAGGAGCTTCCGGCCAGCTCCAGGGAGGGATTTGGGCTCTGAGAATCTGGCGTGGAGGCTGCAGGGTTTGAGGGAAGCTACAGTGGAGACATAGGCAGAAAATTTGGCCTTAGCTATGACGAAGGTGGTGTCGACCAATTTCTGGATCTTTCAGCATTGTTGGGACAGGGATTTGGGGCTGAGCTGCTGGGACCTGGTGCATGCCGGGTTCAGCACCCTTTGTCCCACGCCCCCCTCCATGATGCCATTTGACATGTTATTTAGTGCTGGCCATTTACCCCTGTGGGCAGGAGGGAGGTGGGAGAGCTCCTCAGAAGAGACCGCAGGGCGGCGGGTCAGGGGCCACCCACTGCCTCCCAACCTCGGAGAGTCCCCTCTCCAGCCTTAGTTTTCTTTTCCTCTCTCAGAGACACCAGGTTGAGGCTTTGATTCAAGGATCACATATCTTAGTATAGGGCTTGGCACGTAGTAGGTTCTCAAGAAACGGTGTCTGCGTTTGATGGATGTGGAGCAGAGCCGGCGCAGTGCGGCAACTCGTCCAAGGTCACACAGCTGGGCTGGATCCGACCCGGGCGCCCTGACTCCAGCGGGCCGGATTTGTGAGGAGCCAGCTTGGGGGAGCGGTGTTTGGAGGAGGGGACAAGGATGTGGGCGGGAAGGGACTTCTATTTTGGAGCGGGTGACAGGAGTGCGGAACGCAGAGGGGGCTGGGTCCCTCCCCGGGCTCCCCGAGTCCCAGTCACCTTCCCGCGACCCTTCCCGGGAGGGGCGTCCCGGGCGGGTAGGGGGGAGGTGGGAGGGGCGGGCGGGCAGGCGGTTACCTCATCGCCGCCTCCGGGAGGCTCCGCTCTCTCGCTTTCTCGCGCCGCCGGCTGGGGCGGCGACTCCGGGCGCCGGAGCCAGATAAGGACAGAGGGACGGAGGCGCCGAGAGGCAGTGCCGCCCCCAGCGCCCCTCTCCGCCGCGGGACCCAAGCAGGGGGTCCGACCTCGGTGCCCCGCGCTGCGGGCGGCGCCTCCAGTCGCGCTGCGAGAGGAGGCCGTGTCTGTGCGCGGCGCGTTCGGTCTGTTCTCTTCCGAGCTTGGCACCCGCCGGAGCTGCTCTCACGTCTTCCGTCGGCCTGCTCTGCTGTCTGTCTGCCCGCCCACCGCCAGTTGCGTCCTCCGGCCTGGCCTCCCTGGGCCCCGGGTGCTCCGAGGGGCGATGAGGAGCGCGGCGGGGCCGGGGCGTACCGGGCAGTGCGCGCGGCGCGCGCCGAGCGGCGTCGGCCCATGAGGCTTCTCAGCGCGGGGCGCGGCAGCACGCGCGGGCCATGGGGGGCAGCCTGCGGGTGGCGGTGCTGGGCGCCTCGGGCGTGGGCAAGACAGCCATCATCCGCCAGTTCCTGTTCGGTGACTACCCCGAGCGCCACCGGCCCACGGACGGGCCGCGCCTCTACCGGCCCGCGGTGCTGCTCGACGGCGCCGTCTACGACCTGAGCATCCGCGACGGCGACGGTGCTGGCCCCGGTCAGAGCCCCGGGGGGCTAGAGGTAGCAGCTCGAGGAGTGGGCAGGGGCGTGTGACAGCATGTGTGTGGGTGCTCGGTACACACGTGCGAGTCCGCGTGGACGGCCCAGGGGTGCCCGACTGTGTTCATGGGCCGAAGAATGAATGTGTGTCCTTGCGTTTGTGTGTCTCACCCCTTCTGCTGGCCTGAAGTTGCCCAAAATCAGGCCCGAGACCCGGCGAGTTTGCAAGGTGGCTTTTTCTAGCTCGCTTAAGTGCCTCTCTGTTTGCCTGCCTCCGCTGGTGGGTGGGGATCCGTGCGTGGGGGAGCATGGTCCTGCCTCCCTGAGGGTGAGCGTTGTGGGTCTGGGGCCTTGAGCAGAGCCGCACTGGGAGAGGTTGAAGCCAGACATAGTGGTGTACTTTCTAGGGGGATCATTCTCTGCTCCCTCATTCCTGTGACCTGCAGCAAAGACTCGTCTAGTAATTTTGCAAAGTCCAGGACAGACTTTGAATCCTTGGAGCTGATGCCTTCGAGAGGTGAAGAGGAAGGAGCAGGCAGGATTAAGCAGGGCTTCCTGGAGGGGGTGGCATTTGGGCTAAACCTGGAAGGATGAGTGAACTTTTGATGAAAAGAAGTAGTGGAAGCATTCCAGGTGGAAAGAGCAGCATGTGCTTAGGCCAAAGGCCTAAACGTGTACAGCTGCCGCTAATTAGTGGTCTCTGCGGGCTGGGGGAACACCGGCCAAGGGCTTTGGAATTAGGCTGAGGCATAACTACCAAGGAGGGGTTCTGGGGAGGGGCGGGGTTTGTCCCGAGTTGAACTGTGGGAAACTGGAGGAGGAGGAAGAAGATAGGAGTCAGGGGAGAGGAGACCCAGAGTGAAAGAGGGTTGAGGGCTGACCGGCTTCAGGCACGGTTTTAAAATTCATACCCCAGCGTCCGTAAGGACAGTGGGTTTAGCGTCAAGGCCCCTGCTGGAGGACTGGGCATGGGAGAGTGGGAAGGGGGGGCTCCGGCAAATTCTGGCCTCCCGCCCCCAGGAGTGGCCGGACCCTAAAGACTGGAGCTTGCAGGACACGGACGCCTTCGTGCTCGTCTATGATATCTGCAGCCCAGACAGCTTTGACTATGTGAAGGCGCTGCGGCAGCGCATCGCGGAGACCAGGTAGGTGAGCAGCGGGGCGGAGGGGAGTGTTTGCGGGTCTGGCCAGGCCTTTGCCTGAGGTGAGTGAGGGGGTTCTTCCGCCATCTTGGGCCTGGTCTCAGGCCTTCCGGGCCTGGCCTCTAGCCCTATGCGGTCTTTAGGCCTGGGTCTTTGTGTCTTTGTGGTTCTGGTAATTTGCTGGGGGGTCTCTGGCCGCAAGAGGGGAATGTATATACCCACTTGGGGGGATTCTCCGGCCATGGGGTCCGTGGCACCGCGACCCTTTTTCCCATTTGGCCCCCAGGCCGGCGGGCGCACCCGAGGCGCCCATCCTTGTGGTGGGCAACAAGCGGGACCGGCAGCGGCTGCGGTTCGGGCCTCGGCGCGCACTGGCTGCGCTAGTGCGCAGGGGCTGGCGCTGTGGATACCTCGAGTGCTCGGCCAAGTACAATTGGCACGTGCTGCGTCTCTTCCGCGAGCTGCTGCGCTGCGCTTTGGTGCGCGCACGCCCTGCGCATCCGGCTCTGCGCCTGCAGGGCGCGCTGCATCCGGCGCGCTGCAGCCTCATGTGATTGAATTGGACGACACGACCGATGGCGGGGAGGGGTCCTCCATTTGACTGGAACAACTGGGGACCCGGATTGGACGAGATTGCCCAACTTCTCTCGGATTGGACAGGACAGCCTCCTCTCTGATTGGCTGAGGAACACTCCCACCCAGTCTCCTGGGCGACAGGCTTCTCTTTGAATCTCATTGGACCCAGCTAGGCCCCATTGGACAGTCCTTTCCGGGACCTCATTGGGTCACGATCCCATTGGATGGAAGGGACGTGGTTATGCATCTGATTGGAAGCTCTCAGACTGCTCTTGGAGTTCCATTGGACAAACAGTTAAATCCCGCCTCTCAGGAGGAAATAAAGGGGGAAACAACTCAAGTGCACCTGGCACTTCTGGGATGGCAGGATAATCTTAAGCGTGAAGGTCAGAGCTGCCAGGCATTGCCCCCTGGCAATTAACTCCAGAATCCCAAGCTGTAATGAGGGCCCCCAAATGGGTGTGATGGCCCCAAGGCTGAGTCCCCAAGAAGCAGACGCAAGTAGCTGGAACAAAACTTTACTGTCAGGCTCTGCAGGGCCACAGGACCTCAGGAAGGGTCCTTATTGGGCTGGCCCAGCCCCCTCTAAGGCATTCAATAATATTAGTAATTAAATAGCAATGCTCATCCCCCAACCGGAATGTACAACAGAGGTCCCATTGTGCCATGTGGTCCCAAGGGGTCTGGTCCCATGAGGTCTGGTCCCCAAGAGGCAGGGGGGACTCCCTGATGCAGAGGGGTTAAGGCCACAAAGGAAAAGGAGAAGGAATGGGGGACTGGGGGCAGCTGGGCTGGTCCATCACATCCAGGAATCTGGCTCAGCCCTTGGGCTGACTGACTGCAGGGCATGCCAGGCCCTGGACTCCGTGGGTCCAGATGGGCGGCGGGGGCCCCTCGGGGTGGGGATGCGTGAGGGTTTTCGGTCTGGCTGTGTGTCCATCCGGCCTCGTGCCCAGGTCCTCAGGGGCTCTGGGCCGGCCATGGGGCTCCCAGGTGCATCTGGTGGGCCCCCTACACCGGGGCAGGGGTTGCCTTCATCGGAAGAGCTAGACAGAGCTGGGCCTCGGGGCCCGGGCAGCCCATTGGCCATCCTGCCAGAGTCTGCGGGTTGGCCACACTTGCCACCCAGGACGCTGAGGGACGAAGAGGAGGAGCTGGAGGAACAGTAGGCTGAGTCAGGAGCTGGAGGGTCTGGGGCCCGAACCAGGTCAGGGGCTGGTCCCGTCGGGGTCCCGCCAGCAGCAGCCTTAAGCGCTCGGGCATTGGCCAGGAACTCCTCTTCCAGGCGCTGGAATAGTTGCTGCTCCTCCTTTGGGTCAAGCTGCAGGGGTGTGCGGAAGACACTGGCCGGGGTGGTGCTCAACTCTGGACTGGGGCTGGGGACCCGGGGAGGCCGGGGGGCTGCGGGGCTGTGAGCACGGGGAGTCTGGGGGCTGCTCCTGCCCCGTGGCATCCATGAGTGCTGCCCATCTCGGTCCCGACGCACCAGCAGCACAGCCTGCTCTTCACGGCTCTGGCTCCGGGCCCGCCGGGCAGGGCTGGGGCCCAACAGCTGGCCTCCTCTGCCTCCTGGGGCCCCACGCGGCCGCCCCCGATCCAGCCGGTCTCGGGACTGGCTGCGCGGGGCGGGGGGGCGTCTCGGGGAGGCCGGAGTGCCTGTGGTCACCCGACGGCTGGGCCGTTCCCGTCGGGGGCCAGTGCCTGAGTCTTCACTGCGGGCACCAAGGGGGCCGCTCTGGGCTGAGGAGGCTGAGGAATCGCTGTCCCCGGAGTAGCGGCGGGAGCGGGGGTGGGGGGGTAGCTGGTCCCGGGCCCTGGGGCAGGGGAGCAAGAGAGAGAGCTGGGGCAACGCGGAGGGGACTGGCGTGCAGAAAGGGCAGGAAGAGTAAGGAACCAGCAGCCGCGTGGTTGGGGCGGGGGGTGGGAGAGGCACCTGTGGTGTGGTGACGGGAGTGCCAAGGGTGTCTGTTGCCCTGGGGACTTCCAGGGAGAAGTGAGAGGCTCTGCCACAGCTTCCTGCAGCCACGGCCACCCCCGCCGCCCCAAGGCATCAGAAGAAGTAAGGCCCTAAGCTCCCCCTCCCCGGGCCTCCAGTTTCCTGGGCAGGCCATCGGGAAGCAGGGTTGGACTGGCCGCCACCCAGCCCCCAAGGCCCGCCCAGCTGTGTTGTTCGTTTGGTTGGGTTGCCATGGAGACGGGAAGCCGGGCCTGCCGCCACCTCCCCACCCCCGGGAACTTTTCCCAGGGTGTGAGTCACGGAGCACAGTCATCCAGGCCAGGGCGGGCACCCCCACCCCCACCCCCTGGACCCCTCACCCCGCGTCCTCCTGCTTCTCACCTGAGCGGGGTCTCGGGCCCCTCCTTCGAGCTGCGTAAGCTAATGGGTGTCACCTCCGGGCGGGAGCCCCTGCGCTCACCCCCGGAGGCTGGGCTACCAGCTCGGGGGCTTCGGGTGGGCGACACCCGCTGTGGGGAGAAGGTGCGGGCCCTCGTCTGGGGTGGGCGGTGGGCTGCAGGGAGAGAGGACGGGTGGCGCATGAGAGGTGGGGCCACAGAGGTGCCCCCCCCCGCCCCCGCCGTGGGCACTGACCCGTGGAGGAGCAGCGGCAGGGGTCGTGCTTGTCCAGGTAGTGCTCCAGCGTGTCCCAGCCGCCGCCCACGCGCACCATCACGTGGCTTCTCAGCACCTGTGGCAGCCCAGCGTGGGCAGGTCACGGCCTGCCCCCCCACCTCCCAGGCTGCCACCTGCTCAGGTAGCCCCTGGCTCTCACCCGCACAAAGATGAGCAGACTGGAGTCTCCCACGCGGTACTTCCCCTCCGAGACTTTGATCATGGGAAACTGGTCTGGGCAGGTGCAGCACCCCAAGATCTCTCTCACCTGAAGCCAGAGAGAGGCTGGAGGTCAGGGGTCAGGTCACTCCTCCCCTGGCCCAATGTCAGCAACTCCAGGGTCAGAAGGAAGTAAGTCCTTCTGGAAGCTCTCCTTCCCCTTTGGCTACCAGGGGTCAGGGAGCTGACTAGGAAAAGATGGAGGGACTGTGGTTGGGCCAGGGCCTGGGACCCCAACAAGGCACATTCTTCAAGTCCCTGAGCCCTGGGGGAGTCCTCACTCCCCCTCGCCTACTTCACAGACATGAATGTTGAGACCCACAGAGAGGCCAGGTTTGGGGTGGAGGCAGGCCACAGAGAGGCCAGGTTTGGGGTGGAGGCAGGACCCACACCCCATGGAGGCAGGAGTGCCACAGACATATGGGGCACACGCATACACCAACGTGCACACCAGGCCACCCGCCCAGCTAGCATACAACTGCCCACATGCTCCCCCAGGCTGGGAGCTGCCAGGCTGGCTGTGTGGGCGGCCCGCCTGCCTCCTTGCCCACAGCGGAGCTGCTGAGAAAATGAGCAGGTGGAGCCTCTGGTGACCCTGGTGCAGGATGGGGTGGGGTGGCAACCTCTGCCCACAGCCATCCGGCTACCCGCCTCCAGGAAGGGGACATCATGTTCTAACCTCCTGATAAGAAGGAAACTCTTGGCCCGGCTGTGTGGGGGTTAGGGACACCTAGGTCCCGGGAAGAGGAGGAGGAAGCTGGGGTCATGGTCTGGCACCTCCTATGCTCAGGGTAGAACTAATCCTGCAGCTCCTGAAAGGACTTTAGCCCCCAGTAGCAGCAGCTACTCCAGGCTTGGGTTCCCAGATAAGTGATGTGTGCAGGGCCCTGGAGAGAAGGAGGGACCTGCAGAGCCCCTGGGAGCTTCCCTAGGCACTCACTGAGCACCTACTGTGTGCCAAGCGCCTTGCCCAGGACCAAACAACACAGGCACCCATTCCACCTCGAGCTCAGCGATGGTGTGAATGCAAATGTCTAGCAGCTGAGCGCAGGGAGGGCATACAGGAGGGGCTCAAATCACACGGCCCCCAGGATGAAGGAACACCTAGCACTTATCTGGTGCATGGTTACCACGGAAAGGAAGCAGGGAGATCGTGCAATGGGACCCGAGTTTTCTCCCAGGCCGTGCTGGGCCCTGTGACCTCACCCAGCACCTCTCCCTCTCTGGGCCTGCTCAACTCCTTGGGGCCAGGTATCCACTTGGTGCTCAACATAAGCACTCTTTCCATGGGGCAGGCTGTCCTGCAGATACGAGGATAGGACCCCGGAGGTTGCAGGCACCACCCTGATGTCTGGTCCCTGGGTAAAGGGAGAGTAAGCCAGGCCGCCGGGCATACGCACTCGGGGACTCACCAGCTCGTCAAGGTTGCGTAGGTCGCTGGGTGTCATGCGGGGCCCGCGGGAGGGAGCCCCCGGGGCAGTGGCGATCTCAGCAGCAGCAGCAGTGGTGGCAGCGTCCTCCCCGGCACTGGGGGCGTTGGGGGCTGTGGGCGCGGCGCACAACTCCTGCTCAATTTCCTGTTCGAACTGCACGAGGCGAGGGGCCAGCAGGCCGAGGCGGGCCCCGCGCCGCGCCACCTCCAGCAGGCACAGCACCACGCTTTTCTCGTTCTTTCGCAGCACCAAATCCTCGGTCTCAAACATGAGCACTTCGGGCACACCCAGCTCTGCGCGGCACCAGCCGATGAAGGTGGCCACATTGTCTCGGGCCACGAAGGAGCCGGGTGCCACGCTGTGTGCCTGGAAGGCCACCCCACGGGCTGGGCGGGTGGCGGCCATCGCGCGGGCGGCCTCGGTGACGGCATTGGCATGCTGGCACAGGGTGGTGCCCGTGGCCAGCCCCGTCAGGAAGCCATCGCCACCGCTGGGCAGACCCAGGCCATACAAGGCGTTGAGCCACTCGGCCAGGTCCTCCTTCATGGCCTCCACGTAGGCCTCACTTGAGCGGAACGGCCGCACGCTCTTGGCTGCCGAGCCCGCGATGCCCACCACGGGGTCTGCCATGCCCAGGCCAGCCGAGTCACTGTGGGCAGGGACACGGGTCAGGATGGCTGTGAGGACCCAGCAGGCGCTCAGTACAGGCTATGCCGCTGACCACCTGCACCCGCCTGTCGTTTCAGACCAAATGCCTGGGTTTGAGCCCTGGCTGTGAGAAACTCTTCGCCTTAATTTTCCCATCTGCAAAATGGATGCAATAATAGTACCTTCCTCATAGGAACTAATGGGATGATTTTTATAAATGACTTAGTGTCCATAAGTGTTTGCTGCTTGGTTCTTTGGGGGAGGGGGGATTGAAAGACTTGGCAGAGTCCTCCTGCCCAGGCAGGGAGGCACCCATCCTTACTGCCCCTGTGATAGGTAAAGAGATGAGCCCTAGAGAGATGTAGCCCACGGCCCTGGACTCACAGTAGGAACCCCGGTCCCGACCTCAGAGAGGGGTTAGGTCGACTGCTGAGGGCTGGTGGCGATCCCACTTCCTCCGGAAAGATCCTAGGTCCTC